ATAATTATCACTTATTTTAAAAATTTTATTTTATATATTTTTTAATTATTATTTTTTAAAGTTTTTGTAATTTTTCTAAATTTTTTATTAGAAAAAAAACTTAAGAAAACCGAATAAACGAATAAAACCATAAATAAATAAAATACCAAAAAAATGAAATCAGCTTGGTTTAGTGGCTGAGAGGCTCGGCTGCAAGAACTGAAATCAACCAGAATGGCTCAGATTTGGCTCGGCCCAGTGGCGCGACTTCATGGCTTAGTGTTGAATTTGCAAAACTGGTTGGATCTCAATCGCGGGCTTGCAGGCTTTCACTTCGGCTTGAAACTTTTTGGGTTACACCCAAAATTTGAACTTTTGGACTTTGACCAGGTCTTCAAGTCTGGGCCATTTTACATGATCTTTCCCCTATCTTTATTTTCGATTGCAGAAAGCTAGTCACTTCTGTTTCTCAAAGAACAAGCGATGAAGCTCTCAATTTTTGCTGTTGTCTTCTTTTTCTATTTTTCCTTGAGCTCAACGTGTATTAAGTAGCCTAGAATCTGGTAACTCCACACAGATCCTCTCTCTTATGTTACCGATGGCCTCCTGCTGCCTGCAACTCCCTTCCTCTTTCCAATTTCCTCCGTTGGTTTCAGCTTTGTGAATATCAATCCATTTTATAGTGTAAATCTAAGAGAGTTTAAGATCACTTCTAATTCAACTCATGAGGCTAAAGGCTAAGGATTAAAATCTAATCTCATACTTAAAAATTATCACCTAGCCAAACTTTAATGTTTTCGGTTTTACTTTTTTTTTTTTTTTTGATAAATACTAATAAAAGATAAATATATAAAATAAAAAAATAAAGATGATAAATACACATAAATATAAAAATATAAAATATAGATTTTTTAGATCCTAAATTAAATCGACAAAACTCCGAATTAAACGAGGTGTTTATATGTCAAAATTTAAATCTATCACTTACAATTTTTTTTTTTAAATTTTCAAACCATGATCTATTTTATAAAAAAAAAAAAAAGGGAAATTTTTTTATTTTATTTTATTACTTGAGAAATTGAATTTCTATTTGTATTTACCTTATAACAAAATTATTTTATTATCTTTTAGCAGGCTCATATAAAAGGCCATTTAATTGGGCCTAATACAAAGCAACGGGTTTTACGGTTTGACGATCGGATGATCGATATTTCATCAGTTGTAATATTACCCTAAAAAACAAAAATGGAGGATCAATATGCAAATTATTTCTTCAACTTCTATTAATCAATACTTAAATTTGGAAAAGAAACCAAACATTTTTATCCTTGTAAAAACTTTATTTTCTTGGATCCTTTCCGAATTCAACATCTTTATAATTTTTTTTGTTTTTTTTACCTCAGCCGTATTTTCACAAGTTAGAAAAAAATTGAATAAAAAAATTTTAAATTAGAAATTGAATTAGGTGAATGGGGTGGATTTGTTAGATAATTATTCATTAATTTTCTTTTTAGTATTTTTTTAATATTCTTTTTAAAATTGAAAGTTAGTTTGAAATTTCGAAACTGTTAAATCCAAAAAAAAAAAAACTAAAATCTCAAATTCAAATTATATATTTTTTGAAATTGTTAATGTGAATATTTAAATGCACCCAGTTATTAAATATTATTTTAATTAGATTGTGATTTGTGCATCGTACCAAATAATTTTACTTATTTAATATATTTATATACATATAAATTAATATTTTTTTAAAATTATATTTAAAATTTCAAAATATATAACACCTTAAATTTATATATTTGATTAACTTATCATAAAAAAAATAAATAAAAAAAAATGTCTTCACCTTGCACCATCTTTATATTCAAGAATATATATATATTTAAATTTACAAAAAAAAAGAAATTACTGTTATGAGATAGAAATTCAATTATATAAAGAAATATAGTATAATACAATAAGAAGAATAGCATAAAATTGTATATATATCACTTAATGAACAACATAACTCATATTGTATAAGTAATATCTTTCAAACTACAAATGAACGATAATATCTATACTACATGACATTTTAAAAAAATTGTCCATATGAATGTTTATGTGATAAATTTTATCAAATATTTATTCATGTTGTAATACAATATATATTAAATTATAACTCGTGTGATATACGAAATGATTTTATATATTTAATGTGAATATATAAGTATAAATTAATTTTTTTCTAAAATTATATTCAAATATTCAAAATTTATAACATATATAAAATTTATATATATTAATTTATTTTAAAAATTAAACTTTTTGAATAAAAAAAGAAAAAAATAGGTCAAAGTATGCTATTAGTCCTGATACTATACACAAATTGCGGATTTAATCCATATACATTAATTTTAATATAAGAAGTATTTGTATTTTTCTTGATTCTAAATTTTCATCTAATCAATAACGGTGATTTATTTTCTCCGTTCAAGTTGACAACGTGTCCCGTTGACGAAGTGAGGTGGCATTGACCCGACGTGGGCATTAAAAGATTGATGAGTGGATCGTTTTGCTAACGTGGAATTCTATCTTAGCCTAAAAAGAAAAAAAATTCCACGTCAAATAATTTTCACGAACAAAATCATTTTTTTATTTCTCTCTCTACAGACTTACTTTAAACTTTAGTTCAACTGATTGACTGTTATCTCTTTAGAAATCTACCTTAACATTATCTTTCTGTCTAAAATGGATAAGATAATCAATCTAAAATCCAACCTCTCTCCTATTATCACTCTCCCTTGCTGTCTTATCTCCAGGAATTTTATCCTCAACTTGTTTTGCTATCCCTTGTCTCCATTTTCATACCACTTTTATTCTACAAAAACATATCAGGATAATCAAAATCAATAAAACAACCACACACCTAATAACAATACCGGGTTAACAAATTTAGTAGGAATCATTGAAATTTTCAAAAGTGCTACAATTTTTTAAGTTCAAAGGGGCGGTTCCAGTGAGCAAATTATGGGAAAGATCAACAGCAATTATTGAATGAAGCGTTGATATTTCCTATGATTTAATGGCTTAAATTCAAGTATAAGATATTTTCACAATGATCAATGTCCTAGGAGATACTTCCGTTTACAAAATTACCTGAAAGTTTGATTTTTGTGCACGTTTTTAAACTGGATGAAATTTGGGATTTGCCAATGAGCTTGACTGAGTTAGTTGAGAAAATTTGAAGCAGACAAACATAGTAAAAAATTAGGCCTTTTCAAACCGTGAAAATGGGTATTTTTTGGGTGAAGTATCTAGGGTGTTAGGCTTTAGATCTAGGTTTTACTGGGTTCTTTTTGGCTAATCTAAATCAATAAAAAAAATGAGAGGCCTAGCGAAATTTTCGAATAGCTTTTATGGTATTTCCGACAGAATGATGGTAGTAGACGGCGATGCCAGCGACGACAGTCGAAGGTCCGGCGTCAAATTCTGTAGCTGTTAATGGGTAACTGTTTACGTTCGTGAGTGTTTAAGAGGTAGAGAAAGTGAGGCTTAGAGAGAATAAGAAAAACAAAAAAGGAAGAAATAAAGAAAAAATACATGAAAATTCCACATCGGCAAAAACGAACCTATTCATCAACTTTTTAATTCACATCGTTGGGTCAATGCTATCTCGCTTGGTCAAGGGAAGATATCATCAACTTTAATTAAAAAGAAAAAACAACTGTTACTGTTGAATGTAGGGTTGACATCGGATCAGATTTAAGATGGATTTTATTCGTTCCGAACCTGATTTGATTTAATATTTTATTAAATTCGAACTCGATCTTATTCGAAATTTTTTTTGGTTTTTCATATTCGAACTCGATCCGATTCCGATATCATGTAAATCGTATCCGATTCGACCTGAAATTAATAAAATATTATTTTTTAAAATATAAATATTTAAAAATATTATTATATAAATATATATATAAAATAAAAATTAAATAATTAATTAAAAAATAATTTTTTATATAATATCGGATCGGATTTTAGACAAACTCGACCCGACCCCGAATGTTTCCTTATTTTACCCGATTCAACCGAACTTGAATTTCAAAAAAAAAAAATCGACCCCATGAGGTCGGGTCTGACCAGAACCCGACGGGAACGGGTTAGCTCGCCATCCCTAATTGAATGAAAATTTAAAATCACCAAAAATGCAAATACTTGACATGTTGAAATTAATGTATAAGGACTAACTTTGTATTCTGTGGATAATACAGATACTAGTAGCATAATTTGACCTAAAAAAGCCATATTATCCTATTGCATTATTTTATTTATAATAATATTTATACACAAAATTATATCAAATAAAATAAATTATTTTTTTAAATAAAACATATATATTATTAAATAATAAATTAAATAATAAAAAAAGTATTAACATTATTTCACTTTTGTAATACATAAAAAATATTAAAAGATATGTGAAAAAATAAATTGAAAAAAATATTATTTTTTATAAGAACGAAATTATATAGTAATAAAATATATCTTTAAAAAAAGTTATAAATAAAAAAATAATTACAATAGTAAACTAATATTGAAAATATTTTGTAAAAGAAATTAAAAAGTTTGTTTGGACGGTGATATTTCATCAGTTTTAACATTACTGTAAAAAATAAAAATGTGCATCAATATGCAAATTATTTCTCCAACTTTTATTAATCAATACTTACATTTAAAAAAAATCTAACTTTTTCATCTTTGTAAAAACCTTCATTTCCTTGGATTCTTTCAGAATCCAAAATCTTTATCAAATCTGTTTTTTTTTGTTTGTCTCAACTGCCTATTCACAAAATAGAAAAAAATTGTATCAAGAAATTCTAAATTAGAATTTGAATTAGGTGAATTGGGTGGATTTGTTAGATAATTATACATTAATTATCTTTTTAGTATTTTTTATATCTTTTTAAAATTAAAAATTAGTTTGAAAATTTTAACTATTGAATCAAAATAAATAAATAAATAAATATCAAATTCAAATTACATATTTTTTAATCGTTAATGTGGATATTTAAATGCGATAAAAATTTTTACTTTAATTGCAATTTTTGACGAAATGCCGCTTTACGTTGATCGTGAGGCTCCTAAGGTTTCTTTTCCTTTGAATTTTATTAGAAATGATCTTTGTTTTTGTTTTTTCGGATTTTGATTAATTTTTTTATTTGTTTTGTTTTAATGTGAAGCTATGGAGGAAGATTTACACAGAAGCTTGGATAGAGATTTCACTTCTTGCAGAGAATTGGAAGCTTATTCTTGCTGGACTTGCTTTTCAGGTTCAGGTTTTTGACCCTGTTTTTAAATTTTAAATTCGTTAAATTCAAACAAATTTTCAATCAACATTGGTTATTTTAGGCCTTTACTTGGATGGGCTCTTTGTTTCCTAGAATTTCTTTTTTTGCTTTATATTACTTTGTGATTTGTATTTTCATTGAAATGTGCTTGGATGATAAGAATTAAAGGAAGGAGCTAATCTTATTCATATTGCTTATTATCAGTTCCTTTGAAGAGTAGATTGTTTGGGTCTTTGTAGTTAATTGCTTGTTCTTTGAAACATTGTCCTTCTTATCAAGATACCATTAAGTTTATTAGTTGTTTTGCCCCTCTAGGTAATTGTAATTCCTTTTAGAGCTTTAAAGTTTAAATTGCTTGAAAAATTGAGTAACTGATGGGGTTCTCTCTTACTTTTATCAGTACATTCATGGATTGGCTGCCCATGGAGTTCATTACCTACACCGGCCAGGAGCGACACTACAGGATGTTGGGTTCTTTCTTCTTCCTGTGGGTACCAACTTGGATTCTCGTTCTTTGGCTCTATACACCATTACCTGAAATTGTAGCTGGTTTAGTAATATTATGTTCTTTTTCTAATTTAGGAACTTGGTCACGACAAATTTTATGTCAGTGAGACTTTGTTCACCTTCATTTTTTGTTCCTTTGTTTTGGTAAGGTTTTTTAATTCTTTTTTCTAATTTGCATGCCTCTTTTCTTAATGGAGATTTCGGAAAGGTTTTTATTTATATATTTTATTGTGCTTAGGAAAGTGCATGTTAACCTTTTTATCGTAATGCATATGCACATAAGGGCATCAATAGTTGTTATTATCTATTTACATAGTATGATTTGTAAAACTTTTTATTTGATCTAACACTCTTATGGTGCATCTAGAGGAATTTTCTTTTTCATACGCTATTTCTTAGTTATATCATTGAATTAAAGAAGTTACATTCAAGGCATCTGTTTATGAATTATTGTCTTTGATTTTGTTATTCTTATACTTTTATTAAGTTTATTAACCTGATAGTTAGTATAATGACGATAATGTAAAAGCTTGGTTGTTGATTGGTTGTCTGATATAGTATTTTATTTATTTATTTGTTGCAGTGGACTTTTCATCCCTTTGTGCTCCAGAGCAAAAGAATATACACTGTTCTGATATGGTGTAGGGTTCTTGCTTATTTAGTTGTAAGTACCATTCTGTGCTAATTTTTTTATGTTTTAAGGTCTTAAATCTGTTCTTTAGAATGAAGAGAACTGCTACTTCCCTGCTTTATTACCCTATGATTTCATATATGTATTTGTAATTTCTTCTTGTAGGTTTCTCAGTGTCTCCGCATCGTAACCTTCTATTCAACGCAGCTTCCAGGTCCAAACTATCATTGTCGTGAGGTAAACTTGATAAAACATATGCATGATTTTTTCTGTTTGATATGATCTTAAAATCTTGACACTGATAATGTGATCGAACGTTATTTGACCCTTGTTATTGGTTGCATTATTATATTTAAAGAAATTTTATACAATTAGATTATTTCAGGGCTCAAAACTTGCCAGGTTACCCCCTCCAAAGAGTTTTCTCGAAGTCTTCTTGATCAACTGTTAGTTTTAGACATTTTCAACTTCTTTTTTTTCTAGTTTATCAGTTACAATGTCAACAGTATGATAGTCATTTGATTTGTACAAATCTGCAGTTCCCCAAGGTGCTATATATGGCTGTGGTGATTTGATATTTTCGTCACACATGATTTTCACCTTAGTATTTGTCCGCACATATCAAAGATATGGCACAAGAAGGTAATGGATAACTGTTAGACTGTTAATCTTAGGTGATGTTTTCTGTGTTATCTTATTGCGAGTGCTAATATAAAATCAGACAATTATTGTTGTTTGCATAAGGAGGAATTGAGGAACATAGGAGGGTTTTATGTTTTTCTTTTTACAAATTTTGTAATTGTCTGTTAGCTTCATCTTGCAGATGCATAAAACAGTTTGCTTGGCTACTAGCTGTGGTTCAGAGCCTCCTGATTATAGCATCTCGCAAACATTACACAGTTGACATTGTTGTTGCATGGTGAATAAGGGGGACAATGAAAAATATTTGGCTCTTACAGTGAAATATTTAGGAACACCATCATTTCATGAACTAACCAAGAGTAATTGATCTCTATGCAGGTATACTGTAAATTTGGTAGCATTCTTTCTCGACATGAAATTGCCAGGTTAGCATTGAATATTAGTTTTTCCTTTCTGATTTTAGAATTGGGGAAGAAGGTAATTTATTCAATACTGTATTTGATGCTATATGCAATATGAACTGCTAAATCCATTCAATAAATCTTAACATTTCATCTTGTTCATTGATCCTGTGGCGGCATAATGCCACCTGTGGCATGATAAAATTTCTCGTTAGCATTTTCTAAAGTATTCTTCAGTGAGAATGCTTTTAACAATTGTACATTTTCACTTGACATGAGTGTTAATGTTAAACATAACATTTGCCAAATGACTTCAAGAAAGGTACTTTTCTTACTATGAACTTTATAAGTATGATGATTTTGATATCTTAATTACAGAACTGCCTGACCGATCAAGTGGATCCACAGCTCCACCTCTACTTCCTTTGAGCACTAGAAATAAGGATGGCAAGAACAAGGAAGAACACCAGAATTTACTTAATGTGAATTCTTTGGCAACTACAAGCTCAGTATGAAATATCAGCAAAGAGGTATATGGAGGCTGGCTAGATGCTTTTAATCAGGTTTTAGAAAATAGAATTCCATGTACAGAAATAGGTTATTAATGAATCACAAGATTCAAGTTAGGTACACTGATAAATGGCAATTAGATGTCAGCACAAGCTGAAGATAGCTTGAGGCTGTTGCACGATTGGGCTTGTAAACAAATTTCAAGTCCAAAACCAATGCATTCTCATCTTATTGACAAAATACTGATAATCCTCGATGTAAATATCCCCTTTGAAATGGAATGGATCCAGTTTTTCAGATTTAATATGAGCTTTTCTCATTTATGTTTATCATTTTATAGTATTCATCTGTTTCCTTTAGGCCATGGAAAAAAAAGTTCCATGACGACTTTTTCATTGTTCTTATCGTTGGACAAAATTTGTGCTATAAGTGACTGACTTATAGAGACGGAGAGAGTACATAATCCATTTATACACCTGATTGTCATATTCAAAGAAGAAAAAATGCTCCAATTATCATCCAGAGAATTGATAAACTGATTTAGCTTGTGATAGATTGAGAACAAGAAAGCTGAAAGATTTACAGGGGCTGTGGTACTTTGAAGACCACATAGAGGGGTTTTGAACTTTTTCAATACAGTGACCTGATTAGGGAGCATGCGATGGCTTTCTTTTGGCAACAGGAAGCTGGCAATTGTATCACAATGATTCAATTGAATAATGCTTCTTGTCTCATGTCCCATCATTGCCATTTGCCACCACCCTTTTATCTTTTTTTTGTAGGATATGAAATCGGAGACAGCACTTGTTATGTCACATTCTTCACTATCAAAAGCTACTATTCCCTGTCCTTCTAGCTCTAATCTTGGCCACTGCCAGGACGGTTTGCTTGCCCCGCCATTGTCAAATTTTTTCTTCGAGATTATAACAGATTTGCGGTTGCATGCACTTTTCTTTCTCAACTGTTTTATTTCAGGTACAGCCTAAAAAGCCTGTGCTAAGCTGTTTGCAGCAACTTCAGAACATTTTTACTGTTGCTTTAGCCAGTAGCAACAGGCAGCAGAGATTAAAAGTCCACCAAAAATAAATATTAGAAATCAACAAATTCTAGCATACAATACAACACTGCCCAAAACCTAAGCAAATTTTGCTAAGAGTTCAAAATTTCCCTTGCTATTTGAAATATTCCAATGGAAATATGGCTATTTATTTAAGAACTAGAGTTCAATATACTTATTACTTGAAGAATCAACATTACTAGTACTGTTCAATTAGGGTTTAAACTCATCTTTCTAGAATAACCCTATTTTTAAACGAAATAAAAAACAATCGGTCACTAATATGATTTTCTAAACCAAAAGACAAAATTTTCAAGATTGAATCCTTGACAACTAAATGCCATTAGGCATTAGTAAAAGAATAAAAGAGATTACAGGTTCTTAGATTCTTTTTGGAAGCGTGATAGAAATCTTTCTAACTTGTTGGAATTTATATTTTATGATTATATTTTTAGTATAGAGGAAAAGAAAAAAAACAGTTAAAAGAGGCTTACTGCCTGTTATTACATGATCAAGTCAATTAATCAAAGGCAATTCTATCTATTCTGATCTAGTAAGTAGTGATAGTATACTTAACACCCAACAACGTTATATTCGTAGAAAAAAGTATGTTTTTTTTTTTTTTTATCCATTTCTAATTTGGTTTTGTTCATTACTGATGTTGAACCTACCTCGTAAATAATGAATGAGAAAAGATCAGCAATAAAGGACATAAATGGCTAGGAAGACATATTTCCTATTGAACATGTTGTATTCATAATTCAAGTGGTCCTAAGAATTAACATGGTTTTCTTTCTCTTAAAAAAATTCAGATTCATCGAGGTTAGAAAGGAACTGACCTTTACTCTCATGGTTCCCAACTCCAATAAGCCACCTTGTTGAACAGATCCGGGAGGATTTTTTTATTTTTTTATAAAAAAAAACTATAAGTAAATAGGTCATTCAATCTTTAAGTCAATATAAAATGTATCATATCAAATAATGTAAAAACAATGATTAAATGTCGTGAATTTAAGATTTTCTCAATAAAAAATCATCAATTGAACTTAAATTCAAGACTTTTATATTGAGATAAATAATATTTACCAATTGAACCATACTCTTATTAGTAAAGATCTTTTTATTTTTTAATCGATTGAAATTTCAGCAGAAAAAATAATATTAAAAATTAAGCTTGTGCCTGATAAGCTACGACTACTTCCCAATGTGGGTTTTTCTTCTATTTTTTTTTCTTGTTCTTTGAAGTGGGAGACCACACTGTTTTATTTATATATATATATATATAAATTTGACTGAAAAAATTGATTAAGATTTAAGAAACAACCTGACTACTTCAAGGTTGAATGATTTTTTTGTTTCCTTCATCATTTCAAGTGTGTCATGCTAGAGAATAGAGACCTCCACCATGATCAAGTACTCTCTTCTATATCCAAAACAACTTAGACTGGAATCTATCATTGCTAAGATTGACATGGGAAAGACTGATTATTGAATATATATGGTAGTATAATAGTATTTTTTCAATATAAAAGAGTAGATAAAAAAAAATGGTTGAAGATATTGAGATTTGAATTTTTAAATTTATTAAATGTCGTTTCTAAAAATTTATTATATAAATCAACTTAACTAATTTCCATGTTTCTAATATAATATTTATTATCAAAAAGTTGTATTATTTGCTTATTAAAGGACATTTTGCTTATATTTTTTTTAAATGGCTTTTTTAATATTTTAAACATAATTTGCAAAAGGGTCAACCTGCTTGCAGAATTCAAACACTTGAGCTCATTCATTCTTTTCATTATATCCCTCCCCTTTTTGGGTGGAATTTGATGGAATTATTATATCTAATCTCATAATAAAGAATGAAAATTATAAAATATTTTGGAATGAGTCAAAGTTCTAAATAATGTAAATGGCCCAACTATGGCCAACATTCACTTCACCTTCAAATCAAAGGCCCTATGGCTATTTCCATTCTTCACTTTATCATGTCCAAAAAAATAATTAAGAAAAATGTATCAATAATATAGTAATATTTCTTCTATTTCAAAAGCTTATCAAGGAAACATTAATAATTCTCCATAAAAAAAAATAATTCTATAATCATCTTCCAAACATAATAACTTTTGTTCGTAATATGAATATATGATTAAGATATTTTAAATTAGCTTAATTTTTTTTTATATATTGTGACACTCTAATCTCATATTAAAAATTTTTAAAAATTTATTATGATATATAAATATAGACTTAAATCTAAAACTTACGAAGCATATTTTGTAAAATAAAATCATGATATCTTTAGGTCAAAATAGATAATATATTACAAATTAATGCGAATCTTCATAAATGATATTAGAGTAATTATCAATCGAATAAAAATTAAGTGTTGCATGTTTGGTGTAATTCTAGTTTTTTCTGTACTTTTTTTTATTTTGACAGAAACATCAAGTTTTAATAAAATCTCTAAAATCTAAAAGTGTGATTCTGGTTTTGACGTCAAATTTTAATGATGAAGTTTATGTTTTAAATTTGATGAAAATGTCAAGTTTTAATAGGGGAAGTCACTTCTAAAATCTCAAGGTGTGATTTTGATTTTAACGTCAAATTTTAACGATAAAATTTATGTTTTGAGTTTGTCGAAGATATTAAATTTTAATGAAAAAAACTTATGACACTCTAATCTCATATAAAAAATTTTTAAAAATCTGTTATGATATACAAATAAAGATTTAAATTCAAAACTTACGAAATGATTTTATAAGAAAAAATTATGAAAGCTTTTGATCATAACTAAACAATATCTTGTGTAAGTTATATCTGAATATCAATATCTATCTTCAAAATACACTTTCTCAAATTTTTTTATCGATTTAATATATTCTTCAAAATTTTAATTAAAGACATGATTAATTGATTTTTAAAAAAGTTATAAAAAATATTATTATGTTTAGAAAAATAAGTAAAAAAATCCCATCATCAATTCTGAGGGGACCAAGAAACCATATCTCATGTTTACATCAAATAGCATAAAAAGGCAAAAGAAATTCTTTTAATCCAAACATTTATTCACCCCAGTTGTGATATAGTCTGATGCTTCATTTGAAAGTAAAAATGTTATTCCATCATCGCATCGTTTTATTAATAATGTTTTTGTTTTACTTTCAATCCCAAATTATTTAATAACCGTAATTATCAAATTTCATAACTAAAATAAAATTTAATCATTTTTTTTTCAATTATCTCTTGCATTTTATGACAAAGACATCACTTTCTTAAACATTACTACTAATGTCATCCATCCTCTTATTACAAGACTAGATCTGAAACATAAATATGTATTTTTTTTCAATTTTCCTCTTTGACTTTGACTCTCTTACTACTTTATTCTCTCACTCTCCCTTTCCCTTGAGATCCATCCACGCACATGAAATTGGTTCCAATTTCATTGGGTCGTGCATCCCACGTGATTAAGTATAGATTGGATTTAGGATAAGGAGAAAAAACAGAAAAAATTGACTTAAAAAAAGAAAATAAAATAAAATATAAAACGGGAGGAAACGAGAGAATGATGAGGTGGTGAAAGAAAATGTGAAAGAGAAGCAGAAACCTTTGATCCAAAAAGTTTACAGTTTTTTTTTTTTTTTTAATTTTTTTTCTCTCACTTTCTCGCTTCCCAAACACTCCCTCTCCTTTTTTTAGTATTACATTTTTCTTGCGCTCTTCCACTCCTCAAATTTCGAAGCAAAGAAAAGCGAAAAAACAAACCTTTTTTTTTAGCTAAGTTGAAATTTGAGGTTTAAGGCAATGGGAGCTCGTTGCTCCAAACTATCACTTTGCTGGTGGCCGTCAAATCTCAAGTCAAACCTCTACGACTCCTCCGACCTCGGTTAGTTTGTTGACTTTTTTCCATCACTTTCCCTATAAAATTTTACTCTTATTTTCTTTGTTTCTTTTTTAATAAATGAAAAAATTTTCTTTGGTATGTTACATCAGAGAATGGGAAGGAAGCGTTACCTGGATTCAGCCAGTACAGCTTGAACCAGCTAAGAGCCGCCACCTCAGGATTCTGTGCAGACAACATTGTCTCGGAGCATGGAGAGAAAGCTCCCAATGTAGTTTACCGAGGGAAGCTCGACGACGATCGTTTGATCGCCGTTAAACGCTTCAATAGATCGGCTTGGCCTGATCCTAGACAGTTCCTCGTATATATTTACTTTTTCCATTTTAATTCAATTTATTTTAATGTTTCTTTCTTGGGTTGATTTGTAACTATGGGTTGATTTGTAGGAGGAAGCGAGGGCGGTTGGGCAATTAAGAAGTGATCGGTTGGCGAATTTGATTGGTTGTTGCTGTGAAGGAGATGACAGATTGTTAGTTGCTGAGTTTATGCCTAATGAGACTCTCTCTAAGCATCTTTTTCACTGTAATTTTCACTCTTATCTTTAAAATATTTCCCTTTTGTTTTAATTCACATTTGAGTTTTTATATATATATATATATATATAACCCATAGTTGATTTGATTACACTCTAGGAAATAGGTGATGAGTTGAAGTAGTTATATAAGATCTTCATTTCTTTTAGAATATGGAATAAATGTGCTGGTAATGAATATCTTACTGATTATAAAAGTTGTTTTATATTTGTTTGAAATGGTATAGGGGAGAATCAGCATATGAGATGGCCAATGAGGCTTAGAGTGGCGCTATATCTAGCGCAAGCGCTTGAATATTGCAGTAGTAGAGGGAGGGCATTGTACCATGACCTTAATGCTTATAGAATCTTGTTTGATCAGGTAATTTTAATCTTTATCATCTATATTTGAACCTGTTACCTTACTGCTAATGTTCACTTTGAAATTTGTATTTTATCTCTTACATTGGGTTAGTTCTTGACAGGACGGTGACCCCCGACTCTCTACCTTTGGCCTTATGAAGAATAGCAGAGATGGAAAAAGTTATAGTACAAACTTGGCTTTCACCCCTCCAGAGTACTTAAGGACGGGTAATACTATGCTAACAGATAAACTTCATGAACTTTTGTACAGATCGTAACAGTCTGTCTATGTTATTTATGTATATATATATATATATATATGTATGTATGTATGTATATATGTATATTTGGGGAAAGGGTACGTGAATTTAGCTTTGCGTACGTTAAGTTCTCATGCAACATGTTGCTGTCTCTCTAGCTAAGCTAATTTAGACACCTTAACTTGGCAGGAAGGGTTATACCAGAGAGTGTGGTTTACAGTTTTGGCACCCTATTGCTTGATCTTCTCAGCGGCAAGCATATACCACCAAGCCATGTGAGTTTTTTTTTTCTTGCTTTTATCTTCATTAAGACGGAAGTCTTGTCTGAAATCTTTTCACATAGTAATATAAGAAATTATTCAAATTGTGGATATTTAAAGTGCATCATAGGATGTCCTTAGGAGATAATTTAAATGCTTAAAGGTTGGATCGTTATCATCATGCAGGCACTGGACCTAATACGCGGGAAAAACTTTCTGACACTAATGGACTCATGTCTGGAGGGTCATTTGTCAAATGATGATGGAACTGAATTAATGCGGTTAGCTTCACGCTGTTTGCAGTATGAACCTCGTGAGAGGCCAAATGTGAAGTCTCTTGTCACTGCTCTTACTCCACTTCAGAAGGAAACTGAGGTATTCTCACATTATTCCCCACTATTTTCTCTTCTTTCTTATTTTCAACTTTTATTTTAGAAAGTCTATACCCAAAAATTAATACCTTCAAATAGAAATCGAGTTATGCCCTGTTACCACAAGTGATCTCTTTTAGATTTGGCCAACAATGGAGTTGCTGTTGCAGATAAAACCCTCTGTTATTTTGTCATTTGTATGGATTTACTTACTACTAGCTTGAAGCTTTAGGATATGGATAAAGAAGTGTAGGCTCTGTTTGATAAATGCTTTTACTTTTTGCTTTTTGCCTTTGGTTTTCTATTCATTTTTAATCTTTTTCCTTCTCTTTTCTATTAATTTTTAAAGCAAAAGCATCTACCAAATAAAGCCATAGCTTTTCTTTATGTTCTGAAACATTTGGCGCTGAACTCAGTTTCATTATTTAGCCATTCATAAGTATATGATTACTTGAATTACCTTTTTTCTCTGGGAAAAGTCTTTGCTACCTTTTTACTTGTATTATTTAACAGGTTCCATCTCATGTTTTGATGGGCATTCCACATGGAACGGCATCCTCAATGCAAACAATGGTACTGACACCTCTGGGAGAAGCATGCTCAAGAATGGATCTTACTGCAATACATGAAATATTGGAGAAGATTGGATACAAAGATGATGAGGGGATTGCAAATGAGGTCAGCAATCTATGCCTTTTATGTTGTTTGAAATCTGAGTTAAAGAAATCAAAATCAAAAGAAGGCTTTGACTAATGCTTTTGTAATGTGGAACAAAAGCTAGCGATAGCCTCATTGGTACATTTACAAAAACGCTTTTGATTTAATAAGACATGTACTTCATAAATATCATGTTCTTATTGTCTTTATTGCTGACAGCTTCATCCTTCAAACTGCTAGAAGAATATAACTGCTTTCATTACTTTCTTAGCATTGATATCAAATTCATCTAAGCAAACTTTTGATATAGATCCATTTATAAAATTGCTTTATGCTAAGGGTGTTGAATGTGTTTGCTTTGCAGCTTTCTTTCCAAATGTGGACAGATCAGATACAGGAGACTCTGAATTCGAAAAAACGTGGAGATACTGCTTTTCGAGCAAAAGACTTTGGAACAGCCATCGGATGTTACACTCATGTAAGTCATTTGTTAACGATTTGGTAATCTGCAGAACCATTTAATCATCTGCAATCAAAAAACTCAAAACTACTGATTAAGATTCAACCATTTAATGGTTTAATAATATTTTTCGTTTACAGTTCATTGATAGTGGGACGATGGTATCACCAACTGTGTTTTCCAGACGCTGCTTGTGCTACTTGATGAATGACATGCCACAAGAAGCACTTGGAGATGCTATGGAAGCCCAGGTAATATCTCCTGAATGGCCCACAGCATTCTATCTCCAGGCTGCTGCTCTGTTTAGCCTTGGGATGGACAACGACGCCCAGGAAACGCTCAAAGACGGTACGAATTTGGAAGCCAAAAAACATAGAAACTGAAAGTGTATAGGCCCTTTTTTTCCTTTCACTTTTAATTATCTCTTGTATCTTCCTGTCTTCATGTTTCCTCAGCACCACAGAGTAACTTTACCGTTCATATTCTGGTTATGGTGTACTCTTTTATTTCTCATTCTGGATGCTATATTTTAAGATGATAATAAGAAAGAAATTTTCATTTTTGAATTTGACATCAAGGAGATCTGCCTATCCATCCTTGGCCCATATATCTACTGATTGATTAACGATTAGGGCGATGCAATTCACCAAAGAGCAATGCTTATTTTCATTATCAAGCAAGTTTGGCATGTTTATTCACCAAAGAGCAGTGCTACTTTTATGGATGGAACCTTACAGGTGTTGGATACTGAGTTATAAGAAACTTAAACTCGGCAATCGGGCCGGTAAGCAAACAAAGCAGTACTTCATGTCATAAACTTCTCCAAGCATAGTGCATAAGAGTCAAATGGAACTTCTGGTTTAGCACCAAAATCTTTATTGTATTGCAACTAACATTGTGTCGAAGAAAATGTAATTCCAAAAGACATTAAAGACATATGTTGTACTTGGTTTCAGTCTCCACCATTCCCCAACAGCAGGACTAGCCATGCTTTTACATGTAAAAACAGAACTTGCGATGAAGGATGGCAGCGTTTTACATTGGAGGCTGACCACCGGCATTGAGCATTTGGCCAATTATACCATTCACCTAGAAAATAAGAAAGGTTGTATGTATAGTGTGTAAGAATCAAATGCCAGTCATCAACTAAAAAACAAAAAGCAAAGATGGAACACATCTAAAGTAAAGACTATCATATCACAATCAAGAAAAGAGCTGAATAATAGAGCTTTTTACCAAGCATATTGGGCCATGCTATCCTACTATCCTACACTCTACATTTTGTATATAAAGCCAGGGAATGCAGTCATATAAACTCTAATAAAAACACATTTTAGAATATTTATGGATACTTTGAAACCTACCTGCCAATATTTTGAAACACAGTGATCAATGCAAGTATTTTCACTCATGTTTAGCTTAGACTCCTTGTACCTCCTACACTTAATACTATCATACCATACCACCCTCTACATTTTGTATATAAAGCCAGAGGATGCAATCATATAAATGTGAAAATCTAATATTCATTATTACTTGATTAGTTGACTTTATATATTTTAATTAAGTCTCTTAGTTTTAGAATAAGAAGTAATTTGGGTAATTACACCAAATCCATTAGATATTTGTAGAGTGTAAATTACTAGTTTGATTAGCAGTTTTAATGCATGAAAATCTTGGGTTTTAAGGTTGAGAATATTAAATCTTTAGCCCATATATTTTCAAGTAATTCTAGCATTGTAATGAGAAAAATATAGAAGAATAAAATAGTTTTATTCTAAAGATTTCTTCATGATATTAGAGCACGATCTGAATTTTTGAAAATTTACACTCGAAGTCCAACATGGCCAGCAGAAAGAAGAGCTCGGTATCGGAGGTTACTCTTAACCTTGAAGCTAGCGTTTCTCAATCACTGGAGAACATCACCACTCCTATTCGAACAAGTTCTTTAGCACAAAAAGATAATTTTCTAAGTGCTTTGAGTGTAAAACTAGAGAAATCAAATTCATAAGAGCTTCAGACCATAAGACTTGGGATGCATCTATATTTAGTAAATACAATTCATGTCATAAAAACTTCATATTTCGAATTGCTGACAGGTCATTTTTAAAAGTAACTGGTACAAGTTCTGTTATTATTTCTAAAGAGATAACAATTGATTCTGTTTTATTTCTCCCAAATCTAAGTTGCAATCTACTGTAAAAATGTTACTAAATTTCTTTCAAATATGTGTGAATTTCAGGATTTGGATTTGGGGAAAATGATTGGCAATGCTAAGATGTGTGCAGGACTCTATATCCTAAGAGCTAATGATTCTGAAAGACAATATCAAAAGACCTCTTGTGTGGCTTCATCTTTCAATAATAATAAAGATAGTACTATCATGTTGTGATGCTATCGGTTAGGTCATCCAAAGTTTTTGTACCTCAAAAGATTGTTTCCCTCATTATTCAATCAAAATCCTAACCACTTTCAATGTGAAGTCTGCCAATTATCCAAACATAGTTGTACCACATAACCTAATCAGCTTTACAAAACATCCCATCCTTTTTCAATGATATACCTCCAAAGTAAATAACATTACTGGCTCCAGATGGTTTGTCACATTTATTGATGATCACACCAAGATACTTGGGTATTCTTTATGAAGAAAAAATTAGAAGTGGGCCAGTTATTCCAAAACTTCAACAATATGATCCAAACTCAATTCAAAACCAAAATCCAAGTGTTAAGAACTGACAATGGGAGAGAATATTACAATTCAATTTTTGGATCATATCTAATGAAGCATGGTATAATTCTTCAAAGCTCATGTGTCAACACTCCTCAACAGAATGGCATTGCTAAAAGAAAGAATCAACATTTGTTGAAAGTTGCAAGATCCCTCATGACGGCTGCCCATGTACCTAAGCATTTTTGGGGTAAGGCTGTTCTTACTGCTACATATCTTATAAAAGTCCTGAAATTTCAAAGCCCTTGCCAATCCTTTCTCAGTTTCTATCTTCACTTTTGAATCATCTTGTCTATCCTCACCTTCTAATCATCTTGTCTATTCCCAAAGAATTTGAAATCAAAGATTTGGGACATCTCAAATATTTTCTTGGCATGGAAGTAGCTCACTCAAGGAATGGCATCTCTGTTTCACAGCGTAAGTATATCCTAGACTTACTAAATGAAACTGGAATGCTTGGATGCAAACCTGCTAACACCCCTATGGACACAATAAATAAGGTAGGAATGGAAGAAAGAAGTCCACCAACAGATAAGCGTAGATATCAAAGACTTGTTGGGAAGCTCATCTACCTCTCTCATACAAGATCATATATCGATTTTTCAATTAGCATGGTAAGCAGATTCATGAACAACCTAATCGAGGAACACTTGAGGGCTATGTATCGAATCTTACAGTACCTAAAGAAAAGTCCTGGTAAATGGTTATTTTTTAAGAAGACATCACACCAAAATGTTGAAATTTATTCTGATGTTGATTGGGCTGGAACCGTTATTGACTGAAGATCAACTACTGGTTACTGTGTGAGGAAATTTGGTTACTTGGCGAAGCAAGAAGCAATTTGTGGTGGCTAGAAGTACCGCAAAAGTTGAATTTAGAGCTATGTCTTGTGGCATGTGAGGGAATTTGGCTGAAAAGGTTGCTAGGGGAGTTAAAGGTCTTTGTAGGAGAATCCATGAAGATATTCTGTGACAACAAAGCTGCCATAAGTATAACCAAGAATCATGTTCATCATGATAGAACTAAACATGTGGAGATTGATCGTCACTTCATCAAAGAGGAGATAGAGGAAGGAATTGTTAGAGTAATTTATACTCCCGCATGCCTTCACACTGTAGACATACTAAGGCTCTCTCTCGAAACAACTTCGAGAATCTAAAGTCCAAGCTAGGCATGATTGACATCTACCACCCAGCTTGAAGGGAGTGAGGAAATCTAATCTTTATTATTACTTGATTAGTTAACTTTATCTATTTTAATTAAGTCTCTTATTTTTAGAATAAGAAGTTATTTGGATAATTACACTAAATCCATTAGATATTTTCTTATTATGTGTAGTGAGTAAATTACTCCTTTGATTAGTTGTTTTAATGCATGAAAATCATGGGTTTTAAGGTTGAGAGTATTCAGTTTTTAGCCTGTATATTTTCATGCAATTCTAGCATTGTAATGAGAAAAATATAGATGAATAAAATAGTTTTATTCTAGAGATTTCTTCAATAAACTCTAATAAAAACACATTTTAGAATATTTACGAATACTTTGAAACCTATCTGCCAATATTTTGAAACACAACAATCAATGCAAGTATTTTCACCCATGTTTAGCTCAGACTACTTGCTATCTTAGCCTCTACATTTTGTGTATAAAGCCAGAGGATGCAGTCATATAAGCTCTAATAAAAACATATTTTAGAATATTTACGGATATTTTGAAATCTACCTGCCAATATTTTGAAACACAGCGATCAATGCAAGTATTTTCACCCATGTTTAGCTCAGACTCCTTGTACCTAAGGCAAAAATATATTATCATTGATGTCATTTCGTTAGGGGAAAAAATAACTGTATAGCATGTGTAAATCTTTTAAATGGGACAACAAAAACAAAAAGAAATGGTTTTGGTGCTTCTCATACCTTTTGTCAACACATTTGTTGAAACAAGTTTGTGTAAGCCTGAATGAAAATCATAAAAATAAACTGTACTCAGAAACTGGAGTATTGACAATAAAATCTTACAAGTAGTGGAAACATTTGACACACTATCATGACAAAGAAGCATGCCAGGCAGGTCATAGGGTCCAATTTCAAATTCCGAACTCTGAATTTTCATTTCTTGGCAGATATATCGAGTATACAGGGAGTTTAAGAGGCGCAACATAATTTACATATGTTTCTGATAGTAACCTTTTGAACAAATATTTCTTATTAACTTCTAAATGTAATTTATTTAACACATTAATTAAAATTTGGCAATCTTGCTCTTACCTGTTAAAGAGTTCTACCCTATACTCCATCTCTGTTTCTGCCATGCCAAAGGCCTGCATTCAAAACATGAATTTCAAATCATACAGGAGAGTAAAAGAAACAAATAATAAAATTACCATTTTTCAACCAAACCCCAAACTCCAAAACGATATAAATCTCGGAAATCAAGTTGTTCATAACAAACACTTTGAGATTAGAGATCCAAGATTTACTTAAACACTCTAACCTCAATAAAAAAAAATTCAAATTAATCGGTGGAAAAGATAAAATTTTCTTCTATCTCAGACAATAAATTGGCAGAAAAAATAGCTAACCTGCTCTTTGTTAATTCCAGCTGGGGTGTTGTTGGCAGCCATTGAAACCCTGAGTAATAAACAAGATCGATCAAAGACCAACAACTATCAACTGAAAACATTTGATTAGAAAAAAAGGTTTCACAAAAACTTACTCACTAGATTTGAAAAAAAAAAAAATCTTTTTCTTGTTGGGGTTTAAGGATTAGCTGAAAACAAGGAAATGGGAGAAGAAAAGCTTTTTTTAATATATATATATATATATATATATTTAAATTGAAAGCCCTGAATAATAAGATGCCACTGAGTGAAAAAAAGGCCACTGCTTACTTCAAGTCAAGGGCTAAATTTGGAATTTTAAGCTCAGACTGTTTGGTGAAAAATAATTTTTAAAAATAATTTTCGTATTTTTAAGTATTTATTTAATAAAAATTTGATGATTAACAAAAATTACTTATTATTCAACAAAAAGTAAAATTATTTTTTTAGAAATTATCTTATGAATTGAAAAAAGCAAAACATTTTCAAAAAATTAATATTAATACTTTTTGAGTATAATTTTATTTATAAATAAATAATATATAATATATTAATAAGTAATATTATAATATATTAATAAATAATAAAATATTAATAAATAATATATTAATATATTAATAAATATTATAAATAATAATGAATAATTTTATTTTAAGTATTTTTATATTAACATATTATTTTAATATCAAATATTATTATTAAAATATAATTATTTTAAATATTAACAATTTTAATATATTTTAATAATAAATAATTTTAATATTTTAATAGTTATATTAATATTTTTTTGAAAAAAATAAATTTTACATAAAACTGAAAAAAATAAATTTTACATAAAACAATCAAATAAGGTAAAACATTTTTCATAAGTTTATACAATCAACAAAAAATCTCTTTCAATTTAAAAAATATAAACATTTTTCAAAAATTATTTTCTGCAAAATAAACGAAACTTTAAAAATGGTTTCTTTTCTTGGTTCCGTAATTTTCATTTAGAGAAACAAAACTAGTTTAATAACCTTGCCTTTTCATTTTTCTTCATCATTATTGCTTGAAGCTTCTCGGAGTTTTTGTCTAAAATATTGACAAATTGAACAGTTTATTTTATTTTCACAGAAAACTGCAACAGGATTATTCTGCTCTATCTTACAAGCAAAAGCTTCATCCATTGCCCGATAATGAATATTGGAAATAAGCAAGGACAAGAGTGTTTTCTCTCAAGTATAAAAATAGCTGGAGAGGAAGATTTTACGTAACATAATTTAAAAAAAAAAAAAAAATCAAAGGGAAAGAACTGACTGGTATGCCTTTGTAGTAGTTGAATCCTGAAAACTAGATTTTCTGGTAAGCATTATGTTTTGGTTTTTAATCAACTCATTCAATCTTTTTTTTTTTTTTAATGGTGTGTATGAAATCAATATTATTGAGCAAATGCAGCAAAAGAGTTTATCTAGAAACCTGAAAGGAAAGGTACATGGTTTTGCTGAAAGAGGATGCAAGTATTAGCATCAAAAACTCAAGAAATGATACCACCAAGGGATCTCAGCGAAATTGAAACTCCATAAATGCAACAACAGTTACAACAAAATGAATAATTCTTTCACATAAAGAAAACAGCAACTAGAAGTTGAGATTTTGAATAGCCAAAAATGGCCATAGAAAATAAGTTTCCTCATTAGTCCTCGTATTCTGCTTCCTCTTCCTCATACTCTTCATCATCAGCTGTTGCATCTTGGTACTGCTGATACTCGGAGACCAGATCATTCATGTTGCTCTCTGCCTCAGTAAACTCCATCTCATCCATGCCTTCCCCTGTATACCAATGCAAGAAGGCCTTCCTCCTAAACATAGCTGTAAACTGCTCACTCACACGCCTAAACATCTCCTGTATGGATGTTGAGTTGCCCATAAATGTTGCGGCCATCTTGAGTCCAGTGGGTGGGATGTCACAAACTGTTGACTTTACATTGTTAGGAATCCACTCAACAAAGTAGGAGGAATTCTTGTTCTGAACATTCAACATCTGCTCATCCACTTCCTTGGTGCTCATTTTACCACGGAACATGGCTGATGCAGTCAAGTAACGGCCATGTCGTGGATCAGCAGCACACATCATGTTCTTTGCATCCCACATTTGCTGAGTGAGCTCAGGAACTGTTAGGGCTCGGTACTGTTGGGATCCTCTTGAAGTGAGTGGAGCAAAACCCACCATAAAAAAGTGAAGCCGAGGAAATGGGATAAGATTAACAGCCAGTTTCCTAAGATCAGAGTTGAGCTGGCCAGGGAATCGTAAACAGCATGTAACTCCAGACATTGTTGCAGATATCAAATGATTCAGATCACCAACTGTCATAGATCAAAAAAGAAAATAACGGAAAATGTAAGACATTCGAAGATCCTCAAGCCAAAAAACCAAATCTTTAGCTCTTACTAATTTGATTTTAGTGATATAGCAAACCAGTTTAGATGGCAAGAGCTCACAACAGCACAGAATGATCACTATTAAACTTTGAAATAAAAGGCAATAGCCATGAGCCATGATATTCCACAACGATATTTCCATATTACACCAAACCACAAAAAGGCTTCTTTTCCGCACTAACTACATAAACACTAATCAACAATTCAATGCAAAACAATGGTTTTATTGATGATATAAATAAACCAAGTATAAATCAGGGGAATACTTACAGCTGGGAGTGGTGAGCTTGAGTGTCCGGAAACAAATGTCGTACAAGGCTTCATTGTCAAGAACCATACACTCATCAGCATTTTCAACCAACTGATGAACAGATAAAGTAGCATTGTATGGCTCCACGACTGTATCAGAGACCTTGGGAGATGGGAAAACTGAGAAAGTCAACATCATTCTATCTGGGTATTCCTCCCTTATCTTCGAAATCAAAAGTGTCCCCATTCCAGATCCAGTTCCTCCTCCCAAAGAATGACAAACTTGAAACCCTACAGAAAACAATAAAAATCATTTAACAAGCAGAAGAACTTAAACAAGTTTCTTTAGATCTTTTTTTTTTTTTTTATTGTCAGGCTTCCCAGCACAGTTACCTTGAAGGCAATCGCAGTTTTCGGCCTCTTTTCGGACAACATCAAGGACGGAGTCGATTAACTCAGCACCTTCAGTGTAATGGCCTTTAGCCCAGTTGTTACCAGCGCCAGACTGACCAAAAACGAAGTTGTCAGGTCTGAAGATCTGGCCAACAGGGCCAGATCTAATGCTGTCCATGGTTCCAGGTTCAAGGTCCATGAGAACGGCACGAGGGACGAATCTACCACAACTGGCTTCATTGTAATAGACATTGATCCTCTCAAGTTGAACGTCTAAGTCTCCTTGGTAATGTCCAGTTGCATCAATGCCGTGCTCTGCACACACAACTTCCCAGAACTTGGCTCCTATTTGGTTGCCGCATTGGCCTCCCTGAATATGAAGGATTTCACGCATTTTTTTCTTTGGGTTTTGAGGGTTCTTTGGTCTGAATAGAGATAGATAGGAATTGAAGTTGGTGAAAATAGGGGAAAGGGGGGTTTATATTCAGATTCAGAGAAGAGGAGATGGCTAATCTAAGCTAGGGTTATTTATTTTTAGAATTTTCTACTGTACCAGTAAATTTTTTTTTAATAAATGAATGGTTTTTACGAGGCGGTGTCAGAGAATTTGTTTTATAACGGGTGGAAACAAGGCAACGGCTACCAAAAGTTTTAAAATTCAAAATAGCGGAGACAGCTGGCAGCAATTGTCAGCTAGCTGAATTCAAGGCGAGGAAGGCGCCCTTTAGTCTTTAGGGTAATAAAGAACAGTTGTCAAACTGCTTGTGACACTAATATCGAGTAAATATTCTTTTCTTCTCTTTATGGGTTTATTATTTAATTATTTTTTTTATTATAGTAGTTAGTTGATGTAACTTTACAAACGAATCGAGATAAATATTTATTCTTTTTTAATTTGATTTAATTTTATATTTATTAAATTTAAATTCAATCTAATTTAATTTTTTTTTATTTTTTATATTCAAATTTAACTTAATTTAATATTATATAAATTATATCTGATCTTATTTAAGTTAAATTAATAAAATATTAATTTTTAAATATAAATATTTAATTATATAATTATATAAATATATAATTAAATAATTAAAAAATAATTTTTTATATAATATCATAGAATCGAATCTGATCTACACGACACAAAAATTATTTTTAAAAAATATTTAACCTTATAAAATTAAATCAAATGAACCCACCGAAGATAAATTAAATTGTCTACCGTAAACTCTACTTAATATTCATATCATCCCATCCATCTTCAATAATAAATTTTTTTTATTTGAAAAAGAAAATTGGAACCCTTTCCTTCATAGCTGTTTCACAAATTATTATTAATATTATATTTTATTTTAAGAACAAGATTCTCATTTCACGATTTCAATTGAAAGAACAATATTTTTGGTTAAGCGGTCTATAATAATAATTATTATTATTATTATAATAATAAGCAGAAATGGTTCAGTCAATTATTTAGTGGATAATAAATGTTATTATTAAATCACCAAAAACGGAAACTAATTTACTCTTATTTAAGTTTTCATATACACACACCCACTAAAATAAATAAGAGGGGATTCACCACAGACGTAGAGTATCTCATTTTTCGTCTTCTATTCTATTCTTCCCTATCCAAGGCTTGATGGATGGGTTCTTTTGCTTCACAAGTTTCCAAGGAACAAAGGAACTTCTCAGCCGCTTAAGAATCAACTCCTTCATTCTCTAATATTCGCTCTACCAAGACAGGCAAAAAGGCTTAAAACAGGTATTAGTATAGTTAATCAGACATTTGAAATGCACGAGTCATTAGCCCTGAAAATACAACCATTAAACGAGATTCCATCGCACTGCACTGCACGCTAGATGAGCCATTCAGCCCAAAGGCCCAATAATAAACAGTAGCTCCCGTTTAGCCTCCAAAAAAAGGAAAAAACTTGAAGAGTCCACAACACATCATCAGTCTTAGTAATCAGAAACAAACCAATCCCTTATCTTGAATAAAAAAACATGATGGGTAAAAGAGTTGAAAACTACAAACTTTCTATTCCACCCATGATTTATTTCCAAACCCAAATTTTGACAAAGGAAAAGGTTCAGATATAGCTTTCTATCTAATAATAAATATAACAGGTTTTATTTTTTTTATGTCTTACTATTAATTACCTTTTAGCATCCACCTAAAACTTTGGAAGATTATTGTTTTCCCTTTTATCATTACTTAAAACAAGGGTCGAATCCATGCATATTCTCCAAAATTTATTTCTTTTTTTTTTTCCTCCTAGCTCCCCAACAATTCTCTCTTACTCTGGCCAAGTATTTACTTTAACATAAAAGGCTTGATTCCTACACCCAATTAATTTACACATGCACCACATGTGAATGTATTTATTCAAGTTTTGTTGCTCAGAGCCTTTTTTTTTTTTTTTTTGGTAATTTTATGTTTTACTAGGTTGATGCACCACATCTTTTTTTATCATTATATCTATGTTTGCTGTTTCCAAGAATTTCAAGCAATTCGAGCCAACATTTTGAATTTTTTTATCTTAAAACTCCAATAAGATCAACTGCTGGCCTAAAAGCTTTTCTCTCTATAAACCATGAAAAAAAATCCCTTCATAGCACTAAGCACCAACCTGTTCTACATAGCACCACCGGTTAAGACTTGTGCACCCTCGCGCGTGTATAAAAGATAACCACTAGCCATTGCCTTAACCAAATCGGTAAATTCCATGCCAACATAAAGGTCAAGGATCTTTGTCTAGCATACTATACTACCTAATATGGCTTCACAATTTGAACTTCAAACACTACTCCAAGAAAAAAAGCAACTTTTATATAATAACAGACAGGTGAAAGGCCTTAGATCTTGAAATAAAAAAAGCGAACAAACAAGCAAAAAGAGGAACTATCATTAGGGTTGCAGATTCAACCACATAATGATCATGAAAAAATCACAAACCTGGTCAGAAACACAAGGGAAGATGCGGGATTTGCAGTTCAGAATTGCCATCCGACATTGAAAAAGGGTTAACCAGCTTCAAAGAAGTAGAAATTTTGCATACATGGAAGTTTTATGACGCAATAAGCATTTGCAAAGGATTCATGATGCAAATTCAACCAAAGTTAAAATCAGAGAGAAACAAATACAATTGCTTAATTACACTCCTTGAAATCATTATTTATGTAACTCTTTGATCATAGAACTAGTATCATGAGTATTAAAGCACTAAAGTTTCCAGTTTGAAATTTCACCTCGGAATGATTTAGGCAGGCAACAAACATCCTACAATATGATTAAGTTAACAGCTATATTCTTGAACTATAGTAATTTGAGCTTATGTGAACTTAGAAGTCAAAGGCCCATAAGATAATGCCTTAGAAAATAATTGAACACTGGGCATATTCTACTTGATAGTTTATTTGCATGTCTCAGATTTATGTTTATTGGTAATTAATTTTCATGAATACTTTATTATGTCCCGCAGATACAGACAATCAATGTTCTCACCTTACCAAATTGAAGATAACAAATGAATGAGAATAATTTAGAATTGTTGGAAGATAATCATATTATTAGCCCAATTCTGCTCGACTATTTGCTTTAAACATCTCAGGTATGACTGAGCAACTGTACATAGAAACTAACCATTATGCACATAAGAAATATAGTTAATAAACTAATAAAAGTCAATGAGTATATTACAATAATGCCTCTAGGATATCATAGCAATTATAACTGCATGAGTCTAAGTCAAAACAGACTGATCCACACACATAGTATCATGACAGAAAGGAAGGCTAACAAAACCACCAATATTCGGAAATTGAAGCCATATGTCAGATCCTATTATCAAAACATCAAAGAACCTACAAAGCAAGGTTAAAATAACAAGACTAACACTTTCTTTTCTAAGGAAATGACATTTACAGTCAACATCCACAAGTATGGCAAGACAGATCCTAACAAATATAACATTCCAAAGAAAAGTCATATTAAACATGAATAGTAGGTCTGTTCTTGTCCATCCTAACATAGACCAAGCCCCAGCTCAACCCTTGGCTCAAGCAAGTACATCCTAGCATGCAAGTCTACTTGGACTCTTAGCCTAAGCTTTAAAATCCCTTTCTCAAGGGAATGAGGCACTCTTAAACTAGAACAGAGGGTACTCAATAACCTAGCTAAATCCAGGTATCCAACAAAAGGGCCTTGTTCCAGAACCGTCCTAAACTGATATCCTGCAGTTGGCAAACAATTCTACTTACAGTTTCACTTACTGAAAAAAAGTAATTCTAGTATACATTTTAAGAAATAACTTACACTCTTAACTAACATTTTTATCAGCCTCTCAATTCCAACATCACTTAAACTACCACAAATTTCCCACAACTAAGCACTTGACATGAAAAACGTAAAAGATTTTAAAAGAGAACAGAAAACAAAATCAGGGTGACAAAAAAGCAACACATAAAATACCAAGCAGTTGAAAGGGAAAAAAAACAATATTACAACTGAACACACTCTTGCCACATCTAAAAAAGATGATTGTCAAAACCTTCCCACTGAACTTTCAGCCATTATGTCGTCTGCTTCACTGAAAAAAGAGAGGTTGAATTGAAAAAATCTATCATAGAAAAAAAAAAAAAAGAAATTCCACCAGTATCGAAATCAATTCTATCAAGTTTAAAAGAACATTGGACCTGAGAAAAAGTAAAAGATAACTAAAGGAAATTATTTTAGTATTAGAATTTAGAACTAATGGAACCAAGCACCTAAATAGCAATAACTTGGATAAAATTTTCTTGGAATTCCAGCTAGAAGAAATATAAATTTTTTTATGTCAAGGATATTGAACCTACGATAGTATCATAAATTCGGAGGTTGAAAATAAGCCATCAAAGGATGGAGACAATTCCCCCCCTAGCTAGTTATATGCTGTTGAACAGTCTTAACCAGGGGCTTATTCATTACAACAAAAGTGATTATCCTCCATCAAGAAAGATCTACCTCTCATAGCCTAAGTCTTGAAAAGTTCATACACTTTAAGAGGTAACATAAAAAAGCTACAGAGTATAAAAGCCAACAATCTTTGGTTTATGCTTCTAATTTTTATGTTTCAGGACTTCAATTCAATGACCATGCAGGTCCCATTTTGATGACCATGCCATTACAATAATCTTTTCCACCAGTAAAGCATACATAGATCCTCAAGTTGAATTTATATCATAAACTTGCCAAGATGATAAAGATAAAATGCTTTGGGCCCATAGGATAGCAATCTATAGCACAATCATTTTCCTAGCAAATTAATACAGTGCATTAAAGGATCCTAGTTACAAATATGGCAAGGAACTAATAATATCCAGAATCCAGAATATGTTGCATTATTAATATTTTTTGGCATAAAAAATTCTATTGATTAGCTGTAACCAGATGTAACTGTCAACATATTTTAGCATTAATTGGAGCCCCCCTTATTTTAATGGAATTCATGCACAAGACATCAACCATTTGATAACAGATTAATCTTGAGAACTAATATTTAGATAAGACCACAGTAGTTGAAGTTTACAAAATCTAAGAAGATGTTTTCAAAACACTAAATTTCAAATACAACTTTTATAACTATATAACTTAGAAATTAATTATAGAAAGAATTTGATGCCACAATTAGGCTACTTGTTTACAGCAATTTAAGAACAAGTTCCCATATAAACTTCACCACATTATGTACACTTGTTCAGTCATCTACAGCTGACTCATAATACTTTGTTAATATTTTAAATTCCAGTATAGCTTATGTTTTATCCTTTGAAAATTCAAGGGGCAAGAAAAGTAAATAGAGCAAAAGCATCTAGGCAATAAAAAGATAGTTGGACAAATGCCAATGGATAATCAACAACCTTTGTTATAAAAGAAAGATAAAAGTGGCAAAGGTTGCATGCTGAGTTCAACAATGACTCAGGAAGGAAAACAGTTTGTTCAGTCAAATCCCACCCGGTGTAACAAAAAGACTCTAATCCTAAAATAAAATAAGAAAGATTGAGGAAGCATTTGATTGAAACAAAATTCAAAAGCTTAACTAAGAAAACTAGGGATAAGAAAACTAAATATAGACACATATATAGGAAAGTATACCATCTCACAAGCAAAGTAAGCACTAGTTAAAAACAATCTGATATAGAAAAACATTTTTAACTAGACAATGCTGGAGTTGACAAAAAAATACTAAAGTTATAAAAGCAAAGATATCATATCAAAAAATAAAAAACCAACAAACTTAACTGCCACCAAACTTCAGTTCCAAAAACTATCACCATTAACATGGCAGCAACCTGAAATGACAGGACCAGCATAAACCACCCAGAAGTAGAAGAGATCCATTGAAGGGTGAGTGACCTACATCACTATGTGCCAAACACCAAACCAACAAATTGAATCCCAAGCCAGAAATGGAATAACCACAATCTATAAGACAGCACACATCAAGACTCAATGCTTATTCAAACGGCCTTCAATTTTGTATTATTTGATTTGTTTGAATCATTGTGTATGGAGTGATCACCGGAGGTTCTACAAAACAAAGCAACATAAAAAAAAATAGACCCATAAGCAAATCAAGGTTTGGATACCACCATGCACAATATGGCCACAGATAACTCACAGTTTCTGTTTCATTGCATTTTGTTTGATGGTAACAACCATATCCATAGCCATCTTCTGGCGCTCCCTTGTTTGTGAGTGCAGGTCCAAGCCTTCAACGGTTTCACAGTCTACTCTACAAATGCGGCACCAACCCATGCTCATTGGTTTTCTCTTTCTAAATTTTCAAATGATTCCATATCACCCTGAAATCACATACAGTCAAGAATAGGGCAGAAGGTGCAGAAACAAAAGGAACTCAATGATATACACTCGCAAGAATACATAGATTCTATTCACATAGAAACATGATGAATAAGCAGCATTTTCACTCAACATAATTGACACAAATTCGAAAAAAACCAACACTTAACTGTATAGATTCCACCATCATTAGGAAATTTTCGAAGTGAAAAGCTGCTTCTAAAACCTGGCTCACCAAGTCGTGATTGACGGAAGTTTCCGGGCCCACCAAATTCTCCCATTCGTTCATGACTAGATAAATCACCAAAGCCAATAGGTTTTCCCATCTGCAAATGACCAGGCATGTTAGGATGAACCAAATGTTCACCCCTTCTAAAGTGCAGAGGCCGAATATCTGGACCAATCATATCAAAACTCCTCCAATGCTTTGCCATGTGATCAGAACTCTCAAATCCACCCCCATGTAGATGTTCAGGCAAACCTGAAAACCTATCATTGAATCGGCATTCCCTGCCATCTATCTCATTACCAGGATGGTCTCCAAATCCGTGCACAGATTTGCCAGGATATTCTCTGCCTTGACTCCTAGGAACAAAACCATCTACATGATGCTGACCATTGCTAGGAACTGTTCCAAGAAAATTTGTTCTGCCTAGAGTATCTTTTGGAACACCAACTGGTCTTTCTCCTCCATCATCAGGTTGATATGGTGGCAAGATTCGAGAAGGACCAGAGCCAATCACTGGATCAAAATTCAACCCATGAGGTTCCTTCTCATGAGCCCATGGTCCCGTATCAATACCAAAACCATGAGGACCTCTATCAAGGGGTCTGGATGAGCAGAAGTGGCTCCCAAATTTCGGAACAGGCTCAGTATCCAAATGAGAAGGCCTAGGAAATTGTTTAAGATCTTCTTCAAATTGTCCTCAAGCACCAATCTGATAAGCGTGATCCACAGAACTGATTCAAATGTTCATCTTGCACAGGCTTTAACCTTTCACAACGCAAGCTGAATGTTGATGTGGAATCAAGGCCTGGGGCCCTACAATCTAGCCGTCTACTATCAGCATGATAGTCCACCATATTTGCAGAACGCTGCTGATCCGAATGATTTTCTGGGCCATGTCATGGTGCACCATGTGAGTCAAAAGCATTAAGAGGTGGTGTACCAAATGGTGGGGCCACAAAAGGTTCACCTTGAGATATCCTGGAAGCAACAGAAACAGAAGGAGGACCTTGATTATAAGTCCCTTGTGAACCATAATTACTTGGGCCTCTCCCAAAGGAACCAGGCGCTAATTTTCAGGTGGAACTAAAGCCTGTCCTGGATGGGTGACATGTCCTGGGCCCTGGGCCCTAAATTGATTAGGAGGAGGTCCTGGTGGAGGTGCTTGTAACACGGCAGAAGCCGCAGGTCTTTGTTGTTTATTATTAGACACACAAGGCATATGCAGTGTTAGGTGCCTTCCCTGATCACCAATTGGAACTGAATGAGAAGGCTGCACAAAGCCCCCAGGCTGCGCCTGACTAGATGGAGGGATGCCTCTTAATCCATTACCTGCAGGACCTTTAGACCCTGATCTTGAGGTAGAATTTTATCTTTCTGCATTTTCCCATTCTGTTCTTCACCAAGCTTAGCCTCCTGTAGTGGGGGAGCTTTCAGCAAAGGGCCATCCAAAATTTTATTTTCTTGTACCTTTTGCTCACCCTTGTCAACATCTTTCTGATCCTCAAGAGCCTCACCCTTGACCGTATTCGTAGACACAGGATCTCTATGTTGTTCAAGGTCTGTACCAAAAGTCCGTCTCGATTCTGGAGTCTCCTTGGTAGATATATCAAACCCACTACTACTGTCTCCAACATCACCAGTAGGTTTTTCATCTAAAGATTTCAAATAAGCATTTGATTTAGAAGTATTAGTGTCAACCAGATCAGCTCCAATACTAGATGCTGCATCCAACTCGTTAGCTTCCTTCTTGGCAATTCCCTGGTAGGATGAATCTGCTTCTTTCTCAGCCTCATTTTTGTCAGTACCATGATCTTCTGGCACCTCAGATATTTGTTGCGAAGTTACCCCAGATTGGTTGTTGGTCCTAAACACATTATTCGGATAAGAAGACGGCTGGTTTGCACCAAGTTGCATAGGCTTAACATGTATACCAGCTGCAGACTGGGGATATGGCTGTGATTGTACTCCAGGATTTGGTCTCCCAACAAGATTATGAGATGGATAGGGATGCACAGACTGAGATCCTGCAACATTTTACTGTGGTTGTGGATAGGTATGAGGAGGTTGCTGAAAGGAATGAGGTGGGCCTGGGGGGTAACTGAGAATGCAAGGATAGTTGTTGCTGCACAAAAGGACCTTGCTGTTGTATTTGAGGCTGAACCAAGCCCACCGGTTGGGTTGACAGAGGTTGTTGCAGAACATACTGATGAGACATGGATGATGCAGAATGCTGCATGACTGGCTGTTGTCGAATTGGAAGTGCAGGTTGAAGAGAATGAGGATGAACTTGTGGCAGCATAGGACTTTGTGAAGGCAACAAACCTGGCAGCTGCTGTTTTGGAATTGCTGCATGAGATTGGGAAGGGTGAATCAGAGGAGGTTGCTGAGGGAATGAATTCTGCACTTGAGCAGGATGTTGCTGTGGGTGAAGGCCACCTTGAGCTTGCATATGCATGGGATGTTGTTGTGTTACCATCTGCACTTGCTGGTGAGGGTGCTTTTGTGGATAAGACTGATGAGCAGTCACAGCATAGGCTGCAGGGTGCTGCGTTTGAGGCATCAAACTTGGATTCAAGGGCTGGCTTGGTTGAGGATTTAGCTGTGGCTGTGGCTGAGAATGAAGCTGCATCTGTGGCTGAGCTTGTAGATGAGGTTTACTTGAGGAGCAGGATGAATCTGGGACTGTGGTTGTTGCAAATGGGAGTGATACTGCTGATACTGAGGCATTAGCCCATGTTGCAGATGAGGCTGAACCTGAGGCTGGGGATGGCCTAGGGCCGTTGGGTAAGTTTGTGATGGAATTTTAGAGTGTGGTGGCACCATAAGGTGAGTTTGCTGCTGTTGGTCGACTTGTGCCTGGTTCTGAGGTTGAGAAGCCGCAGGAGCCTGAACAGATGAGTGTAACTGAGGCTGGCCTGTGGTTGTGGCTGTACTTTGAGACTGAACCTGTGGTTGAGGCTGCACCTGGGCTTGAGGTTGGGCCTGTATCTGCAGGTACACAGGATGCTGGCCAGCCATGCATTGTGCATTAACCTGCAAAGGTTGCTGCTGGTATTGTGGAACTGCCTGCTGTTGATGGGGGTAGTATTGCTGATAACACGGGTCATATCCAGAATGATGCTGGTAGAATTGCTGATGCTGTTGTTGCAGTTGGTACCGCTGTTCTGAAGTCACCACAGCAGCCTGGGAGACAGCTTGAGACTGGGAATTTGGGTTGGCCTGCAGATTCGGGTCCTGTCCAGGTGAAATGGACGTTGTAATTTGAGATGCCTGGGCCTGAGAAGTAGCTATTCCTGGCTGAGAAGCAAGCTGGGTCTGATCAGCAGCAGCAGTGGTTTCTGTGGCTGCAGTTTCCTGACCACCCCCAGCCTGCTTTGCTTGAGGCTGCACACTCTGTCATTAAAGTATGTAAAAAAGTCAAACTTACCACAAATGCTACAAAAAATGGTCTGACATTAATAAAGGATTCAGTGCACTCACAGGGCAATTTCGTGCATGTTCTTGAACTTGACGATGCACAATGTGAAGGCCACACCTATTACACACAACTGGAGAATTGCCAAATGCACACCCAGAACAATGAGCTGTACATTCAGATAGCGGACCCTGCCATGCACACCTAGATAATGAACCATAATTTTCCCAATGGTTTCAGCAAGTGTCTTATTTGACTCAACAAGCGGCTGTAATTTGAGGAGGGAAAAAAGATCAATAATAAGGGAACAATAATCTTAAGAATACAATAAGAGACAGCACAGTGTAAGAAACACACCTTAGAATCCGCCTCTGTTACCAAGTAACCATCATAACGGCAAGCTCGTGTAGTGCTGATAGCATATGTTAAACACGGCTTGCAGTAAAGATGGGTGCATTGTTACTGTAATGCTTCATTTGGGTAGACAAGTAGCCACAAATAGGACAGAAGTACTCTCCAGCCAGAAATTGAATATTCAGTATGCACTCGTTATCAAATCCCATTCTGTCCAAGAAATTCGTCTTCAAGTCCCAATAAGCATCAATTTAAATAGCCTTTAGTAAAAAATAAAGGAAAAATCACCATTTCCAGACTAGCAGAATTAGTAAAATCAACAATGAGACTATTAGCTAAACAAAAATGCAGTAAGGTTGACGAATCAAACAATCAATATCAACAAATTGCAAGCAGCATACAAAACAATCAATTAAATTTTATCGATCTCGATAATTAATAAAATTTTTATATAATAAAACATAATAATAACTCAAACAAATAAAAGACGCAATCAAGATTGACACTCCTGATTATCTGAATCAGAGATAGAAAATTCTGACATGGAAAACAAAATTATGAAAAGAAGAACAAACATTTTCCCTTTCATTTCTCATTTTCCCACATTTTCTCAGCAGCTAAACTTGGGAGAGACAATCGTATACCTGAAATTTACCCCAGATTCCGATTCACGTCTTGCTTTAAACCCTAAGTCCAATTGCACCAGCAAATCATTGAAAATAAAATAAACAAAATGAATAAATTGAAAATAGAATTTGCGGTGTGATTGCATCGAGGAGAGAGGAAAAAAAGTAAAGTAAAAAATGTAAAGGAAACAAATTTTCTTTCTTTTAGATAAATTTTTAATTAAAAAAAGGTGAAAATTAAATAATTTTTTTTATAAATTTAATTTGTTTTAATACTCTAATTTGAAAAAAAAAAAAAGTTGAAAAAAATTTATAAAAAAATTATTATGTTTATACTTTTATTAATACTAAAAATTTTATAAAAAAATTAAATAGATCACAATTATTTTATAATTTTTTTAAAGTCATATATTTTTTTAAATAAGTTTTATAAATTTTTTTTAATAATTTTTTTAATGATTTAATTTTGACAAACAATCAAATATGAATAAATATATTTTTAAAATTTATGAGATGTTAAATTAATTTAAAATTCATTAATATATATTTATAAAAAAATTTTATTTTATTTAATTAAAAATTATTGATATAATATCAATTATGAAATTAAATAAAATAACAAATATATTATGATTTAAAAGTATATAAAATTACAAATAATTAAAAATTATAATTAAAAAAATATTATAATAAATATATTTTTATTTTTTATTTAAATAATAATTGATAATTTTTTTATTAATTTTAATTATTCAAATTAAAATTACATGTACCATTTTTTTCTTTTAAAAATTAATATTTATCCAATCTTTGCGTTAAGATTTTTAAAAGAATAAGAGAATAATAATAAGGTAGAGTAATTTGAACGCTAGTGATTTAAGGCATTGATAAGTTTCGTAGGGTTGGAGACGAAGCAGAATGATCATAAGGCGATCAAGGTTTTTGTCACGGAGAGACGTGACGAACTGACGGTGTTATTGACGGCTGTTACCATTTAAAGTACTACTATAATTTTTTTGGTTTATTTTTATGAGTTAGTATTGGATACTGTATAAATTTTTTTAATTTAGATTAACACATATCATCTTAATCATTTTTTTTTTCAGATAGTAATTTGGAAATTGTACATTGAAATTAATTTATAATTAATTTTTATTTATTTATTCTCAATTTATTAAAAGTATTAAATTTTAATCATAAGTAAATTTTTTGGTTCAGCTGATGCCTGATGTTGGTGGGTCCCTTAAAATAGATACTTTTGTTTACTTTAAGCCAATGTAAGAACCAATAAAGACTCAAGTCAAGTCAATGTTGTGACTGTCAATTTCTTCTCAGCTAAGGAGCTTTTATGATTAAAGCTGTTGGCCATTTTTTTTATATTCCCTGAGTTGGATTCTTTAGTTCTCACCTCCTAGCATCATCAACTGCAAAGCTGCTTTCTGCTGACATCTATTTTCAGGTAACATTATTTAAAAGCCCGTGATAACAGATGCTTGAAGTTACTGTATATGTAGAACGTTCATGCAAATGCTTTAATCTGCAAAGTTTAGTTCTTTGCTGTCTTGCCAGTTAACACTGTGATTATCTTTAAACAGACTTGGAATGTGAGCAGATGATTGATCGAGTTCATACTGTTTCTTTTCTGGGTTCTTTTTTTGTGCTTTGAATATGGCAATGAAAAGCATTAGGAATTCTTTGGCATACTTGAATGATTAGTGGGGTAGAAACATTTCATAGTTCATCTTGTTTTAGGCCTTCTTGGCTTCAGTACACTTGCGGAAGAGACCAAAGCTGATGAAAAAGAAAAGCTTTATTATATTCTGGGTGGGTTGCTTTCTATTTATTCCAAAAAAAAAATTACGTTTTGAAGAATGCAAAACGTGTGCCACTCCGAATACAAATAATATCTTGGACTTTCGACCTTCTCCTCAAGTACTTGTAAGTTTCATGCTTTGTTTTTCTTTCTTATGTGTTGATACTTGACAACCGCGCGTTCTTTTGCATGTTCGATCTACAAACCTAGGTACTAAAGCTAGGAAGATAAATTAACATCAGCTTTGTTTGTGCTATCCATGGCTTCAATAACCTTGAAAGCGTTGGTGGACAAGACAAACAATAGAGTACTTTTTGCTGAATCCAATGCGGACTTCGTTGATATTCTCTTCAGTTTCTTCACAATACCAATGGGAAAAATTATCAAGCTTACCCATAATCAACCACCAGCAGCAAGTGTAGGCTGCATGAACAACTTATATGAAAGCGTTAAGAATCTTGAGGCACAACGTCTCCAAACTGAAACATGCAGGAAAATGTTTCTCAATCCACGAAGCGCGGCAGCTGCTCAGTGTGAGAACCTAAAACTGAAATTAGATAATGATGACGCCCCTGGTTTATTTTTGCTGTTATAGATGTTGCTCAAGTTCAAATAACAATCTATTAAGTCATTACTATGGTTCTTGTGCTTGTGGATACCCCATGAGCTGTATTACTGTGGTCACCAAAAATGATTTAGATGCTAAAGATGGAGTCTTTGTCAAAGGACTGGCACGGCTGATAATAAGTGATGAGTTAGAAATAGTTCCCTCATCCACTGCAGCAAGCTTTTCTATACTTTCCAAGCTTGGGATTATGGATGGAAGTCTAATTGAAGAGAGGTCCTTTAACATAGGAGTAGATGAGGTAACTTATGGAGTTATGAAGTCTCACATCAATGATTAGTTTTGATATATATATATATATATATATTTATATTTATATACAGAATTAATTCCTTGATTTCTTCTGTCAGGCTTTGAAATTGCTCAAGTGCTCGCTAGTATCAAAGACAACTTTGACTGAAATTCTTTTGAAAAACAATCCAGTACCTGAGCTAAGTGAAAAAGATTTTGAGCAGGGAAGGTCCAAAATGCCTAAATTGGGGGCAACATCAAACCAGAATGGGAAGATAGTTGTGAAGCTCATGATCTGCAAATCCAAGCAGATGGTTTGCTATGCTGAAGCAGGTGAAGATTTTGTTGACTTGCTCTTCAGTTTCCTCAATGTTCCACTTGGGTTTGTAGTCAAACAAATGCAAGGTGGCAATTCCAAGGGATGCATAAATCGCCTTTATGATAGTGTTCAGGTTCTTGATGCTAAGCAATACCTAAAATCGCCGGAAAAGAAGGCAATGCTACTCAGTCCCAAGCTTGCCTCTGGTTTTAGCTATGAGAATCAACTGTTAGGCATTGAAGAAGATACACATCCTGCATATTACTTCTCCATCAGACCACACTGTGGTCTCATGCTAGTTTCTGATAAAACACTTCTCCCTTCTGACAGCTCACAGACAGTTTCCCCTGCAACTCTCTTGGATCCTAAGTCTCATGGCTCTCATCACAAGGATAAGAAAAGCGGTCAAGGATTTTTGAGGGGACCGGCATTGTTCACTATAACAGATGATCTTATCATAACAGCTATATCTTCTATCTCAGGCCTTTCTGTTCTGAGCAAATTGAGGGTACCTTTTGGTGATATAGAAGAGCGCACTGTGCATGTGGGTAAAAATGAGGTAAGTTAAAATTAACAGCTTCTGCTATAAAACTCTGCTATAAGTCAACTGATTTTCAACTTCCAATCAAGATAGTTCTAAAAGCAAAACCTTTCTAAAAAGAACTTTAATGATAAAAACACCACTGAAGGTGCTAGCTAGCTTAGTTGATGAAGTCTTTTGGTGACTGTATGAAGAAACTAAGTTCGCATCTTGCCTTCACTAGGAATATGGAGCTTTATGGGAATGAGAAGGACCATTGAACAAAAAAAAAAGCTTCTGACAAAAATTTGCATTAAAGTCAAATGATACCTACCATAACAACAAATCTGAAGTGATTTCTGATGTATTATAATTTTGACATTTTGTTGTATTGCAGGCTTTGCGTCTACTGGTAGCTTCTCATATCTCAAAATCTGCTCTAACCAATGCTTTTCTACTCAAGGAGCCAAAGCCAGAATTTGGAGGACTCAGAGCTTTTAAGGTGTAATAGATGTCATCATTAGTCATGGAGAGCCTAGTTACTTTGATCTGAATTTTGTGGTGGTATGTTCCACGGATGCATTTATATATGGAGGGTTGCACATTGCTATGTCATCTTATCAAATATCAATATATGTCTAAGGGGTTCAAATATTACAGTTGTAATCTTGTGTTTGCTTTAGAACAAACCATATTATAATGTTTTGGAAGTAAAAAAGCTTTGGTCATCTGAGTACTTGTTTTATTTTAGACAAGAAAAAATGAGGATAACAGAAAACTGCAGTTCAGTCTAAATTTCACTGCAAACAATTGGAACCTCATCTGATATTGAGCTCTAAAGCACAATATACCTGAAGTTATTTATATCTGAAGCTTCTGTAAGTTTGTTATGAAAAATTGAAATAAAGAACTGGGAGGCTTTGCTTCCATCAGATATAAGCATACCTGGCTTGAGCTTTCGAGCATGATTTCCTTATTTGTAAATAGTATTCTTCTATCTGTACCATATATAAATAGATAGCTGAACTTGTAGTTTCATTCAATTTTTGGCAACTTTAAATATATATATATATATAAAAAAAAAAACAATTTACACTGTTGTCAATCTCAAATTGCCAAATTCCCTTTCCTTATCAAGGTTCAACTTAATTTGTTATAATGGATGGTAAAAAATGGCTTTGATTATAGTATTTACAAATTACAATATGCTCAAAAAACCCCCAAAAATTTTACATTATGATATTAAACAACCAAAATGAGAAGAATAAATAAACAAAAACTAAACAGCAGTAATAAAATAATATTTATCAATTGAGATTTCCTTTGGATGATAATTTTGTTATTTGTTTTGCAAAAAATAAATGGAAATCAAAAAAATATATTATATTTTGTCTGCAACTGTAACATCACTTATGGGAGATTAACTCTTTTTCTATTGGTAGGCCAAGCATACTGTTCTTGTGTAGAAGATGACCCCAAGTCAACTGCTTCTCTGTGACTGTACAATTACTTGTCGATTAAGAACTTTTGATCAATTTATCTATTGGTAGGCCAAGCTTATTGTTCTTGTGTAGAAGAAGACCCCAAGTCAACTGCTTCCCGTGACTGTGCAATTACTTGTCGATGAAGAACTTTTCATCAATAATTGATCATTCCTTACGAAGCAAAGACGCTAGACTTAGACCAGAGAATGCACTTTTTCTACCTTTACTCTCCATTGAACCTGTGCTTTAAGCTCTCTCTCCTACGCGTCTCTTCATAAACTGAGTACTGTTTCTTGCTTCTTTCCACCGAGGAATATAATATTCCACTTCTCTCCAGCAATCCCAGGCTGCTCTTTTGGGTCAGAAGCTTATTGTCTCCAGGTAATATAGTTTCACATGCTAGTATTTATAACTTGATGTACTTAATTTCTAGCTATTGCAATCTATTTACTTGGCAGAATTCTGGGTTTTTTGTTCACTTTGGCTACATAAGATGGGGGTGTGGGGTTACTTTTTGTTCCATGTAAGTATGCATTTTCTTAACAATCAAAAAGATTTGGTGTGACTGGATTGAAATTTAAATAAATAAGATACAGAAAGTTTGATCTATCCTGGATGAACCTTTCAACTTTCATTTAAATTTAGGCATAGAGCTCACCAGGCAGTTTTGTGCTGCAGGGTACACCGGCTTAAGAGTAAGTCCTCACCAAGGACTAATTGTGTGGTTTGATGCAATATTTGAGAATAGAAAGGAAACCAAAACTGGTAGCCATGGCGAATGGAAATATCAGCTTGAAAGCTGTGGTGGACAAGACAACAAATAGAGTTGTCTTTGCTGAATCTGATGAGAAATTTGTTGACATTCTCTTCAGTTTCCTGACAATGCCGGTGGGAACAACTGTCAGGCTTACCCGTAGTCGACCACCGACAACAAGTATAGGTTGCATGAATAACTTATATAACAGCGTTGAGATTCTTGACAAGCGGTATCTCCGAACAGAAGCATGCAAGACCATGTTGCTATACCCAAGAAATGGGGCAAGTGCTCAATGCAAGAACCTAAAACTGAAAATTGATGATAGTCCACCCCTAAGATATTTTCTTTGCGGAATGTGTAATTCAATTTCAAATTATATGCTACTAAGTTATTACGAAACTGCTGTTTGTGGATGTGGAGGGCTTATGAATTGTCAGAGAGATTTGAAGGAGAAAGAAACTACAAGAGTGGTCTTTGATGATCAAGATGGAGGGGTGTTTGTCAAAGGACCGATTCTACTGACAATAAGTGATGAATTGCAAGTAATGCCCTCATCAACTCTAGCACGCCTTTCTTTATTTTCTAAACTTGGGATCAACGACACAAGCACCATCGAAGAGAGGACTTTTTCTATGGGAGTACGTGAGGTAACTATCAACTAATTGATCTGTATATTTATACTTGGTCCCAAAATTGATAATCTGATTTCTTCTCTCAGGCTTTAGAATTGCTCAAGTGCTTGCTTGTATCAAAGACACCTTTGACAGAAGCTCTGTTAGAACAATGTATCCCTTTGGTTTCTCTAAACAATGTGGAAGGTTTTGAACGGGTAAGCTTCAGAAAAGTTAAAATGGAGGAGGCTGCAGAATCAAATGAGGGTGGGGAGATCTATGTCAAACTCATGGTCAGCAAATCCAAAAACAAGGTCTGCTATGCTGAAGCAAATGAAAAGTTCGTTGATTTGCTCTTCAGTTTCCTCACAGTTCCACTTGGGTTTATAGTAAAAGAAATGGGGGAGGGCAGTTCAAAAGCATGCCTAAGTCACCTATATGATAGCATTCAGGATCTTGATGCTAGGCAATGTTTAGTGTCCGAGGAAAATACTGCAATGCTAGTCAATCCAAAGCTTGCTCCTGGATTTAGCTACGAGGCGCAACCATTAAACATTGAAGAATACATGCATCAACCTTTCTACCTTACCTCAGATTGGATACCACAGCTGACTTCTGATGAAACGATTGCTTCTTCAGTTTTAACTGTCATGGACCCAAAGTCTCACTACAATGATAATTCAAGTGGTAGAGGATTTTTAAAGGGACCAACAATGTTCACCATAACGGATGATCTTATCATAACTCCATTGTCCTCAATCACAGGTCTATCTGCTGCAAGAGAATTGAAGGTACCATTCAGCGACATGGAAGAGCATATTGTGTATGTTGGTAAAGAGGAGGTATGTTTAACATGTCGAGTTCTGCAATAAATAATCTTTTGCAAAACATCTCATAATTTTCTAGCCTGCAGTAATCTTCTCAACTATTATGCTGGCCAACCAAAATGTTATAATGAATAATTGAAGAAGAATAAGTTTTGTGCTTGAGAGATGGAACTATAATACAAATCTACTTCAGTTACTGTTGATTTATAATAATCCTGAGGCCTGACTTTTTCCTCCAATGCAGGCTTCACGTCTACTGGTGGCCTCTTTTGTCTCCGAATCTGCTCTAACCAATACCTTTCTGCTTAAAGAGTCAAAGCAAGGATCTTAAGGGAGTTGTGTTTCATTCTGGAGTGGTCAAACCAAGGATTTCATTGAAGTTCAAATTATACTTATAGGGGTCAAGAATGCTGTTACTCTTCTCATACCATAATATGTTACATACCATTAAAATACGAATCTTGAGTTTGTTTTTAGTCATTAATTATTGTACTTGCTTATTTCTCTATTTCACTCAAAATAAAGATGCCTGTAGATACGATGTGGATACGAAATATATATTTATTTTTATAAAAAAATTATTAAAATTGTATCAACATTTAACAAAATTATATCATAAATTACTAAAATTATAATATTTAATTAATTAAAAATAATAAAATATATAAAGACATTGAATATTATTTTGAATCATGAAACTGTAGAGCTACTGCCATAAGATTATACAAATTGACAAATATATAATTATACATAGATGGAATTTTTATAATAATTAATAAATGCACATGGATATTTAGCTATAACTAAAATAATTAAAAAATTCCTAAATTTTATCATTTTATTAGATAAATTTTTTATATATAATTTTTGCGTCAAAATAAACTCTTAACTTAGCACTCAAATAAGTTTTTAAACTTTAATTTGAATACAAATAAACCTTTATACTTAAATATCTCTTAACATAAACCAATCTTTTGTTTGAAATAAGAGCATATTTAAGTGCAAATCAAAAATAAAATTTATTTGTGTAATAAAAGTATATGGACTTATTTATCAAAATAAAATATTAAATTTCAATGGCTCTTTTAATATTTTAGCCTTTAGCTACCTAGGTATATAATAAATAATTGATAAATTAGTAGATTATTAAAAAGTTCAAATTGTATACATAGTATATAATTAAAATATACAACAAAAAAAACTTCAAGACTTAGATTAATTAATTCATGTAATCACGTTTAAGAGATAATCTTAAGCATGTTTAATATTTAAATTTCAATACTTACAATTAATTATTTTATTTTCAAATTTTGATATCTTTTGTACAAAAATATTATCAAAAAATATATAATTAAATAAAAATATAAACCTGTATTTGGTGACCCAGACATGTAAAAGAACTGCCATTAGAACCTTGCTGAACTCTGCTCCAGCACATGTCCTGTCCCTCCCCCAAATGCTGTGAAGTTCTTTGACTTTGCAGTCCCCTCCAACGTTCTTTATTAATTTAAACATTAATTAACAGAAATATCTGAGATATTAGCACAAATATTTCCATTCAATTATTAAAACATTAAAACTTAAAAGTCAATCAATTGCATGCACCGATCCCTTTTTGAAGCTATTTGTGTTATTTTATAGCATATGGGAGGGTAAAGATTATTTAATTTGCACTGTTTTATGAGAAACTCCATTTAAAAAGTACAAGTAAATTTTTTACTACTCTATCCAATGTTATAAATGATTTAATATTTTGGATAAGGGGTATTTAATTATAAACACTTGTTAAGATTAATTAAATTACTATGTAATGAAATGATTTTTCATTTGTAATACACTTTTTAAAAAATTTTTAAAAAGTTATTTAAGTATAAAATACTTTCTTATATATCACATTAATAAAAGGGGATAAACCTAACTAGAGGTGGCCATAAGAACTTGAATCCAAAAATCAATTAGAAAAAATTTCAAATTCAAATCTTATTGAACTTGATTTAATTAAAAAAAATAAAGATAAAAAATGGTTAAGAAAATTAGAACTCAAAAAATATCTAAGTTCAACTCAAAATACATGTTGGAAATAGTTACAATTAGGGATGATAATGAATCGGGACGGATTTTTACTTATCTTGAATTCGATTCAATTTGAATTAAAAAAATATTATTTTTAAAATATAAATATAAAATTATATAAATAAATATAATATATATATATATGGGTTGGCAAATTCGACTTCGACTAGACATTTTTCAATTATTATATGATCTAACCCAAAATTTGATTTAAAAAAAAAAATTGATCTTACGAGATATGATAGGATCAGAACCTGTCAAAATCTTATTGAGCTGTCAATTCCATTTACAATATAAAATTTAAAAATAACATAAATTGAATCGTTTATAATATATATATATATATATATATATATTATAAACTCTCAATTTTAATATAATGAGAAAAAAATCAATAAAATTAAAAATTGATTTGAAGTTATAGTATTCAGTTTAAATTAAATTGATTTTTTTTACTCGATTTAGTTTAAATTCAAATATTAAATATTAATATTAAATTTTGATAGAATATTTCAATCAAAAAGTAAAAAAAAAAAATACCTTAAATAAATTATATATTTTCGTTAGTTTATATATATATATTAAAGTTTTATAAAATAAAAACATTTATTTTCTATTTAAATTTCCTTAAATATATTATAAAAAATTATTTAAAATTTTATAAATCAAATCGAATCAAATAAATAAAATTTAATTTTAATCAAATCAATTAAAATAATTCAATTATAATTCTAATAACTTTTAAAAATCCATATTACTATATATATTAATCCAAATAATCGAATCCAAACCTTATTGTCCTAGAAAACTCGTACAATAGTGTTGAAAACTCGAGGTTGATCGTGATATGTTATTTAACTGAACCTAGTCCTGGGCCTCGGCCTGGCTCCTGGACGCCATCGGCCCACCTCCTCCAAAGAAAAAAGGGTCCTTAAAACTGGAATTAGATTTTTCGAGGATGCGGGAAAAAGATGGTGGAGGCTAAAAAATTCAAACAACAAGACAGTGAGTGAGCTATTTCTTGAGAAACCAAAGTGTACTGAGTTCTCCTGTGAAACTCGAATAGCTAAAAACTGTGAAGATTTTGGGTTCAAAGCAAAGCATCTCCTTCCGATCTTCACTACTTGGCCACACCAAAACATGTCGGTGCAAGAGTACCTTGACAAGCACATGCTCTCTCGCAAAATCGAAGACGCCGTCAATGCCGCCGTCCGAGCGAAAACTCCCGATCCTGTCCTCTTCATCGTAGCTCTCTCTCTCTTTCTCTCCGTTCAAAATTTCGATTTGCTTCACTTTTCGTTTTGAGGAAATTTTTTTTAATGAAATTGCAGTCTAATCATATGAAAAAAGCGGTTCCTTCAGTAATAATGAAAGTAAAAGCTCGGCAGGTTCTCGATAGCAGAGGAGTTCCTACTGTTGAAGTTGATTTGTTCACTAACAAAGGAATGTTTCGTGCTTCTGTACCTAGCGGCGACTCAACGGGATTGTAACCTTTATTGCTCTTTTTCCTTCTTTTGAATTTTATTTTTTAAAATTTTCTCTTTGTTTGATTGCCGAGAAAAAAAATGTTGTTGATACAATCAAAATTTGAACTTTTAGAATTACAATTTATGTTTCCATCATATGAATCAAAATTTTTCTTTATGTTGAGAATTTGAATCGAAAATTTCCAGTTGTGCAGATAAAAAAAAAAGGAGAAACAACTGAAAGGTTATTCAGTTTGTTTTGGAATTTAGAAATTACCTGAACTGAGAAACTTAGTTTTAATTCATATGGCAATGCGTAGTTAAATTGAACGATTTTACTAGTTATTGTTTCTAATTTAGGAGGTTTCATTTTGTTTAAACTCTTATTTAACATTATTGGAAAATTAATTTGATCCCAGAATTTGAATTCCATGATAATGTATTAATTTTGACAATTTTGATGCAGGTATGAGGCTGTTGAACTAAGAGATGGGGACAAGGGAACATATCTTGGAAATGCTGTGACAAAAGCTGTTAAGAACATAAATGAGAAAATATCTGAAGTATTGGTTGGTATGGATCCAACGGTTCAGCTACAAATTGATCAGGCCATGATAGACTTGGACAAGTCCGAAAAGAAGGTATAATTTTTTTCTTTCTTTTTCAAAATTCAGGTGTAGTTAGTTGTTCACTTTACATATGTTTTAAAAACCAAAACATTTTAATAGTAGGTTTGGGTTGGGACCTAGAGATTGTTTTAAATGCCTGCCTACCGGTCTGGACAAGGTGGAGTGGAGAGAAGAGAAATGAAATGGAGAGAAGTGGCACAATTTCCTTTGTATGGATTCTAAATGAGGAGAAAAATAGAGTTGGAAGAAGTTATTGTGCCAATCTCTTCTTTACCACCTTTTAGATCTCTTTGTTTTGAATTTTAGGCTGGATGATTCCCATTATAACTGCAATTCACAGTATTTGTTGCATTATGGTTCTTTGTCTGAACATGATTATCCCAGAATGAACTTGGAGCAAATGCTATATTAGCTGTGTCAATCGCTGCATGCAAAGCTGGGGCTGCTGAAAAGGAGGTATCATTTCCTTGTCAATCTGTTTTTCAGTTTCCTAGTTATATACTAGAAAATATTGAGTTCTATTCAAAATGTTCTAACCAAAATAAAAATCAGGTTCCACTTTACAAACACATAGCCGATCTTTCTGGTCAAACCAACTCAATCCTTCCTGTCCCTGCCTTCACAGTTATCAGCGGTGGAAAACATTCTGGTAATGGTCTGCCCATTCAGGTAAATAACCATCTTTTTTAGGTTTAAATTCTAAATATTTGCTTACTGTATTTTGTAAATGATCTTTTGCTTGATATTCATCAAAAGCATTTTTGAGCCCCCATGAACTAAGCATTGTTTTATGATTTTGATTCCTAAATTTTATCTCCATACTCGGCTTCTGGTAAAATGCCCCACAACTGACTGCATGATGGTTTAGATTCTTTTCTATCCAAAAACTTTCTTATATCTTTGTAACTTGATTTGTGTAATGCTGCTATCAGGACATCATTATTCTCCCGACAGGAGCAGGCAGATTTGAGGAAGCTTTACAAATGGGCTCTGAGACCTATCATCACTTGAAGGTGATTTTGTTAAACCAAATTGTTTAGCCTTTGGCTTTAGTTTTAAGTTACGTGCTCATTACACACATCTTAAATGGATCTGATTGGTCTATGCCTAATTTTGTAAAAGTTCTTGGTTGAAAATGGATACGATTATATACAAAGACATAAGCAGACACCTGTGCTTTTTTTAAGAAATAAAGACTAAGTTTTAGTTCTATTTAGTTGCTTGAAAATGATTTTAAAGGTTGCTTGTAAATTATTTTAACCAATCAGTTTATGGGTAGACACAAACAGTGAAATATCATTCAGTCTAATAATCTGTATAACCTTTGAATTGGTTAACCTTAATACTCGTGGTATACCATCTTAAGAGCAATATGCACTGGAAATGTCATGCATATACTCGTTCATTTATTATAATTGTTGTTCATAAGAAGAACAGGCTGTTATTACAGAAAAATATGGTGCAAATGGATGTAATGTTGGTGAAGATGGTGGCTTCATTCCTAACGTCTCCAGGCAAGTATTACTATTAAGTATGACATCATTGTTTATCATATTATTGATGAATGCACTCTGCCCGTAACCCATAAGGGTGAATGAGGTTTATCTTATATTATCTTAGGAACCTGGGTGGAATTTTGTTTGATTTTCTCCTATTTCTGTTGGCAGTGTTAGAGAAGGATTGGATATTGTCCAAGAAGCTATCAGCAGAACGGGATATAGTGACAGAATAAAGATAGGAATTGATGTTGCCGCTACTGATTTTTGCATAGGTGATGCTTATTTTCCTATAATTAGTCAAATATCATCTTGAAGCATGTGATACAGGGGACAAGATTTGGGGAGAAACTGCTACTCTACTGTTCAGTAAGAGATGTTGGCATCATCATGCAACAGCTATTGCCTTACGTTCCATTAGTAGGATATAAGATACCAAACTGAATGTATGATTTAGGTGCGCTGTACTGTACAGTTGGAGGCAGAAACAAAAGCTTATTTTACCCTAGTCAGATTGCATGTTTCTTTCTCTTTAGGATCTAATTTTGGGTCCCAGGATGTTCTTTCATGTGTAGACACGGCTTGCTCATGATAACTGGGAGTTACTTTTCTTTCTCCTTCATACAGGTACAAAGTATGATTTAGAATTCAAATCTCCAAATAAATCTGGAAAAAATTTCAAGTCAGGAAAGGATATGATTCAGATGTACAAAGAACTTTGCACTGGTATGTCAGTTTTTCTGTGCAGGCTTCTGTTTGTTCTTTGAACTATATTTTAATGTTGTTGCATTCCTTTTTCTTCTTTTCTGATGTCTTAGATTATCCAATTGCATCTATTGAAGATCCCTTTGACAAGGAAGATTGGGAACACAGCAAATATTTTTGCAGTCTTGGACTATGTCAGGTTTTTTTATTAACATACTACTGATGCTCAGGCCTTCTGAATGACGTTTCCATCCTATTTAGCATGTACAACAAAAGGCAAGAATATAGAGTTAATATTCCCACATTTTGGAGATAGATGGAAGATAACCAACTACAATATACTTTCTCTTTTGAGTTTCCTTTGTAAATGATTAAATTCTTATACTTCAAATTCTGTTGGGTGTTTACCTACACACCTTGTTTGACAAAATGATTTCATTGTTTGGCTTTTGGTTGTTCTAAACATAAATAGGATCTGACTTGCATGTTTATGTAGGATTGATGGACCTATTGGGTACTTCAGCAATTTGTTTGGATCTAATGTTTCTGCACTATATTTGACCACTTGTAACTTAAGGTGCGATGGCTTTGCAGGTGGTTGGTGATGACTTGTTGATGTCAAATCCAAAGCGCATTGGGCGGGCAATACAGGAATCTGCTTGCAACTCTCTTCTTCTCAAGGTATCTACAGGATTATTGGATGATCATGAGTACTTCTCTTTGCTGATAATGATGTCAAATTATCTGAATTGCCTCCTTTTTTACTTTATTTCCCCTATGTTGTCTATGTAAATGGAATAAAAAACTATCAATATGATCTGAAGCTGGGAAAAAGGGAGTATTTTGTGCCAAAAGAATGTGTTGAAACATTTTGTGTTCAATTTGCTATTGGAAATTCAAGTTCTAATAATTCTATGTTCTAAATCAGATAAATCAGATTGGAACTGTGACAGAGGCTGTTGAAGTGGTAAAGATGGCAAAGGAAGCCCACTGGGGAGTGGTGGTATCTCATAGATGTGGGGAAACTGATGATTCTTTCATCGCAGATTTAGCAGTTGCCCTTGGTGCGGGCCAGATCAAAGCAGGTGCTCCTTGCAGAGGAGAGCGGTTGGCTAAGTACAACCAGGTTTGTGTTTCTATTTGTAAAGTGCTACTTTTTTAATTTATGCTTTTTTCTGTAACTCCATGGCTCACAATTTAGAAATTAAAAAGACATTAATTATAGCAACAATAGCTTCATTAACACAAATCTTATAGGTCTTCAACTGTGTAATATCTAAGTGCTTTTGCTAAGTGAAAAGGAACAATATGCTAATATTAAAGGGTTCTAAGTTTTGAAATACAAGCTAATTTTATTGGTAGCTTGTGACTACTTTGCCAAATCATATATTTCATGAATTCTTATCTATACTACCTAATCGATGCACCTAACCAAAGTAATTTAAGGACACAATTGCTTTTATGATATATATACGTCTATATTTCTGTTCATTAATTAAATATCCAGTTAGGACCATCACCTAGAGATTTACCAGTCCACACGCACATGAGTGTAGTTGTGATTAGCATTCCTTAGATCTCCTCAGTCCTCCCCACATTCCGACCATGCGCAGGTGTGTATAAGATATTCCGTTCCATTTTCTTTCACGTTATGTGCTCATACAGCATGCCTTCTCCTTCCTCTATTCCCTTGGCTGATGAGTTAGCCTGAGAAAAATGAGCACACTGTATCTATAGCACGATATTAGTCCTACTCCTGATCAAAGTGGAGAAGAGGCAATAGATGAAATTAATGGGAAAAAAAAAATCTTTTTGCAGTTGCTCCGAATCGAAGAAGAGCTCGGGGATCAAGCAGTGTATGCTGGCGAAGACTGGAGACCATCATGTTGATTGTTCTTATGGGGTGGGTTATACTAGCATTTCTTCTTTTCCTCTATGGTTTGAGCCTCTGAAATAGTTTACCCTATGTATTTAACAATTTGTTCAACGTTCGCAGTTTTCTGCTCTTTTTGCTTCTCCCCTGGAGTCTCCCACGCCACCCTCCTTTTCTTTTGGTGGTGATGAGAGCCTTTAAAATGCTTTTGAAGTCGGAAGAATATAAACAACACATTATTCAGTGAATGGGCTTGAAATATAGAAAATTTTGAATTGCTAGATAGGGGTTGACGCAAGTGGTTAAGGATTAGGGTCTGGATACAAAATATTCAGATTCAAACTGTGAACTCTTGCAGTCTTTTATTGATAGGTAATTTATAAATTCGAAAAGTCTTAAAAAATTCGTAAATCTCATTTAAAGTTAGTGACTTGTCTCGGCTTTGAAGATGGAGTAATTTAATTGATATGCAGCTCTTTGCCGATTTTTCTGTTAAAAATTCGAACTCAACTCAGAGTCACATTTAGTCAAACATTCAAGTGCAAAATTTTTTTTTTTTTAACATAACTTAAAAAATGTATAATACTATAAAATATATGATGGTAAAGGAGGTTAAAGACAAATGATGTAATTGTCACGCCATTGCTTTTTCCTTTGTCATTTTTCAAGGTCTTAGATAAAACATTTTAGTGTAATAAAAAAACAAAACTTCTCCCATTAAAAGAAATTCCAAATTCATTATTCTAATGAATCCAAAGTGTATTATGTTTGTCTGTTTTGAAATTGAAGTTTTCCATATATTGCTAGATCAAACCATACATTATCCTAGTCTATACTATATGCCATATTATAAGTATAATATAACTCAAAATCCAAGAAAATTATGACATTACTGCTTAGCTGCCAATCATTCACCACAAAAAAAAAAAAAACCCTAAAATCATTGTCAATTTTCAAAATTTCAATTGAAGGTTTTCATTCATCTTTTGCAATAAATAATTTTCAATATATTCATAAAAGTAAGTCATACATAATACTCCTCAAATTGTTTACCACTCTTTGAGTGATTTTTAATGTAAAAAAGTAAAAAAAAAAATCATGAAAATAATTTTTAAATATAAAAATAAGAGTTTTAAGTGTTAAAAAAAATAATTTTGAGATATTAAAAATTGAAAAAAATAGAAGGAAAGAATAATAATAATTGGAAAAAGAAAAAAAAAAAGTAATGTAATGAAAATTGATGAACAAGAAGCCTTCTCCGATTTTATCTCCTCAAACAGAAACTTCAAAAAAACCTCATCACCTCAGGTTCTTTCTTTCACCTTCATAGAGACAAAAGCCATGAGTCCATAACCTTCTTCTTATTCTTCCTTTACCATCCAAATGTCAATACTAAATTCTCTATAATCTGTAATAACAACAATCAAAAAAAGAAATTCTTACTTTCAATCCATATTGTATCTCTCTAGATTTGAACTATCTTCAAACACAATTTTTTTTTCTCGTTTTCATCAAACACCCAGGAAAACGTTTTTTATTACAAGACTCATCATCAAACCTGATGAGCCGTTTATTCACGGTCGGGCTGATAACATCGTGGTACTCCTCAAACATTGGAGTCTTGTTACTGAACAAGTTCTTGCTAAGCAATTATGGATTCAAGTACCCAATTTTCCTTACATTGTGCCATATGTTGGCATGTTCCATGTTCAGTTACATCGCCATTGCATGGCTGAAAATGGCTCCTTTGCAAGGGGTAAGATCGCGGTTGCAGCTGATGAAGATATCCGCATTGGGGGTCATCTTTTGTTTTTCTGTTGTTGGTGGGAATATATCGCTTAGATTTCTCCCCGTCTCGTTTAATCAAGCTGTCGGTGCGACCACGCCGTTTTTCACGGCGGTTTTCGCGTACTTGATGACCATGAAGAGGGAAGGTTGGGTTACGTATGTCACTCTCGTTCCTGTTGTCACTGGTGTTATTATTGCCAGTGGGGTAAGCCCATGGTTCTATATTTCAATATTTGGCTTTGTTTCATCTTTGGTGAAAATTGAAAAACAGCTTGAATTTTTTAATTCAGGTGGTTGGTTTTTTCATTTTTTGCCATGGAAAATGTAATGGAATCATTCCAATTTTATAATTTATGCTATAATTAAGGATAATACCATTGTTTGGTTACTGATGTTGTTTAGTTCTTATAACATGGCTGAAGGGAGAACCATTGTTTCATCTGTTTGGATTTATAATGTGTATTGGTGCCACAGCAGCACGAGCTCTTAAATCAGTGCTTCAAGGGATTTTGCTTTCTTCTGAAGGGTAAGGGACATTCTTTCTTCTACTTATCAAAATGAAATTTGGACATTTGCTGAGTTATTCTGAATTGACATGTACTATCTTGATGAATTTACTAGGGAAAAGCTTAACTCCATGAACCTGCTAATGTACATGGCTCCTGTAGCTGTCATATTCCTTCTTCCTGCAGCTCTTTTTATGGAAGAAGGTGTGGTTGGGATTACGATTGCACTTGCAAGAGATGATTGGAAGTTCTTATTGTATCTGACCACCAATTCTGCACTAGCATATTTTGTGAACTTAACCAATTTCTTGGTCACTAAGCATACCTGTCCCTTGACTCTTCAGGTATTTTTGTCTGTGTTAAAATGCTATGCCAGTGGAAAGGAAAAGATAATTGCATATAAAAACATATTTATAAAGTGCTTTAGTTGTTGGCACATCGTGATAACAAGATAGAATCTTGTAGGTAAATTACTTTACCTGTTGTCGGTATCTGGTGACTTGTAAGTTTCATGGTGCTCATTAGTTAAGTTGGTAAATGGTGAAAAGTCTTATTCCTACACTTAAAATCCCCCAACCCTTTATATATTGTATCATTTCATTCCAAAAGAGACGTAACTAAAGCCTTCTAAAATAGTTTACACTAGTTGGATGGCCAGAAGATTCTTCCCTGTGTATTTACCTGGCTTTCCAGGGCATGAATCCCCAAATAGAAGTTTCAGGCACTTTGTAATTTTGGAAGAAGTTGTAACTGACAAATTTTTGGGGTTTAATCACTCGCTGTTAATCTTTTAATTTGATGGATGGAAATCTCTTGAGTTGTACTTGTATAATCGAACCTAGCGATCCTTGAGGTATTTCTCTTCTCCTTGGAAGAAATAGGCAAGTGAAAGCAATGTGTTAATTGGCATTTGTTTGTTAGTGAAACAAGTGGGAAAAAAACACGACTTATTTGGCAAATTATACAATTGCTTTAAGGATAATGTCTATATCGAGATTAAGCATGCTTGTTCTTACAGGTCTTGGGGAATGCAAAAGGTGCTGTTGCTGTGGTTATCTCGATCTTGATATTTAGAAATCCTGTATCAGTTACCGGGATGCTTGGATACTTACTCACCGTAGCTGGGGTTATTCTCTACAATGAAGCCAAAAAACGCAGTATGTAAAGCCATAAGCAGGAGATATAGGCACAATTCCACCAATGTTATGTCTTTAGTGTGGGAGGGGCCAGTTGAAAACAAGTCAATTCGGGTGATGCTATAAGTTGTCCCTCTTTTGCAGAAACCAGAAGAGGAGATTATGCAGTATAGCAAGTAGAACCTCAAGTAAAGGAAGAATTTAGTTTTGTTTCCTCAGCTTGTAGGTGCCGAGCAAATGTCTTCTCTTCCTTTATGGAGAAATGGCAGAAAATTTTGACAAGATTTTTTTTCTTTTTGTAGCCTTTTTATATTTGAAGGTAAGAGTAATGATAAATTATTGTTTGTTGATGTACTTATAATTTTTAAGTAATGATCAACATTCCTGCAAAATGGCAGCAATGCTGCTATTGTCGAAATTAAACTGAACCCATACAGGGAACTGAAAATTTTAAGTTGATTTTACCTTTATATTATCTTTCTGCAGGTGGGCTGTTCAAAGCGTTCTCAACTTCATGTATTTATTAAATTTTCAACATATTTAAGGAGAATCCATAGAGTTGAATAGAAATGAAGACAAATAAGAAAAGAAACGCATCGTTTATAACAATGCATCGAAAAATCCAAGCACATGAAAGAAATGTTATCACATGTCATCCATCTAACCTAATCTACTTAATGCTTGGCTACAAGGTGAAAGCCTCAAGTAGAACTCTCAAGGGAACATTAATGACACGACATCAAACACATATTGTAATGTACGAGGAAACAGGATCCATGCCAAAATCAAGTTAGACTTGTGGCTTAGTCTCATCCTCATCCTCTTCAATCTTGGGTGCCAAGTAGAACCTGATATAACCCATCTCAGCTATCTTGTACTCAACCACAACAGGCAGTTCTGAAGACAAGCTGATTGTCACTGTATTGGACAATGAAGTAGCCTTTGTAAATGAATTCATGTACCTCAATGCAAATGTCAATGATACTGGCTCGTTCATCTCTATAATTGTTGCTTCTTCTGGCTGCAAGTGTTCATCCACAAATCAACAAAACCATCAAATTAATCATGTTACATAACTTGGAAAGAGGGCATTACATAGTATTAATAATCATGTTCAAACAAAAGACAGCTTAACAAAGAAAAACAATAATATGACAGGCCCAAAGGACATACTTTATCTACGGTGGTATTTTGCCTGAGAACAATATTTGCAGTTCCAATATCACCTCTTGTGGAAAACTTCACACCTTCCTTGGTAACAGAGATAACAACTGCAACCACATCAAACTATAGCTAAGACTTGCACGAGAACATGTAAATAAGCTCAACCAGAAAGATGAAAGATAAGCCAAGAATCTATAATCCCTTTAATCTTAGAAAGCAAAACATTTCAGCAGTACCCGTATCACCAATGCTGGCAAGGTCTTTACAAATCCTTGCAAACTCAGCAGAAGGCATCCTAACAATAGCATGGTACTCTGCCTCAGGAATTCCAAGGTGTTCACTATCGATATCCATCAGCTTCATTTCAAAATCCGATATCTTGTCTTGTGCTTTAATCCATTAGCCCAAGCATAAAGAAACACACAAAATGTCAGTTCAACCTAATATTGACAAAAAAATTAGCAAGTCTTTGGCCCAAAAACGAAACTGGAAAGAGTCTAATTGCATTCCAATTGAATAAACTCAGAGAATCTTCATCTTGAATTGAAATTACGACAAAGCATTTACAAAGCATTTAAGTCTTTTAAATTTCCATGGCTTAGTTTTCTTTTGACTAGGTGCCAGCGACCAAACAAACAAACAAGGCGTCAATCACCATAATTTCAGAAACTAAAGAACATTTTACAGCTTATACAGTTTCTTTTAGCTTTCCACCATTTTCCCAGCAGCCAAAGTGATGATAAACTTTCCAAAAGAACCATTGAACAGAAAGAAAATTGAAATCAAACATCCAAAAACACAAACTTTAATAAATCCCGGTATCCCCAAACCTTAAAACTCTAGTTACCCACCAAAATCCTACTGAAAACAAGGAATATCAAAATACCCCAGGAAACGGAAAACTTACTGGGGCTCTCGAACATGAAAGTAACGGTATCGCTGCCGTCATCAGCCTTGATAGTGATGATGTCATCATTACCGGCGCATCTCAACATCTTAGACATGTTATTTAGGTTTATTCCCATGGAAATGTTCCTATCACATCGGTAGTGCTCGAACCCTTCGGATCTCAGTAACAGAGCCACCAGCGCCACGTGACTCGAATCCATGGCCTGCAACGAAAATCCCGTAGCCGAACAGTCAAAGTTTGCATCATTGACCAAGTCCTTAATGGCTTCCAAAACTTTCTTTAGAAGCGAACCTTGAACTAGCCTAAGCTCAAGCATTTTGGGGGTATCTTTTTTCCTTTTTTTGCTTTAAAGATTAGAAATCTAGTGTTAGGGTTTGGAGGTAGAAAGGGAAGAAAGGGAGGAATTTGCGGGGTTTATATAAAAGGGGAAATGATTTTGAATCGTAGGGGTTTAATTGGCGGGAGAGAGAGACGCTTGGTTCCCGCCAATGGGGGAGGATTAGGTAGTTTTGTTTGTAGGGTATTGTCATGCAACTTCTGATTTGAGAAATTTCTATTCGGAGTTGGGTCGGGTGACCCATTGGCCTAGAAGGCCCACATCATATTTCAACAAGTTTGGACTTTGGACACCTCTACTCTCTATGTGTTGGGCCAATTTAGTTCAATTTTGTATATGACTAATTTTATTTATTTGTTTGATTAATTGATTTGTTTATTAATTTTTTTAATATATTACTAACATTCATTCGATTGATTTTGTTAATTTCGAATTTAATTATTTAAATTAAATTAATCAAATTATATTATATTATTTTTATTAATTGAATCAAATTTATTAATTTTAAAAATTAATCAATTAAATTAAATTCGATTAATTCGGTTAAGTTTTTTTATTAAATTTTTTGGATAATCAAATAATAAATATATTTAAATTAAGTTATATTTTTATATTTTATATTTTTTATATTTTAAAAAAATAAATAAAATTATCTAATAAAATATTTAAATACAAAATTATATTAAAAAGTTTAACCATTTACGAAACAAAATAATTTTTTCATATATTTTTGTTTTATATTTGAATTAAAATTTTAATTAATTTAATTTTAAACTGAATTAATCAAAAATTATTTTTAAATTATTTTATTAATTAAATAAAATTAATTTAATGATTAATTAATTAATTAAATTAGATAAAATTTATCTATTAATTCGATTAAAATCAAATTATTAATATTCTTTTATAACATGTATTAAAAGTTATTGTAATCATTATATAATTTTTTAATTATAAACATAACATCGTAAAACGAATTTACAAAATTGGGATTGTAAAAATTTCTGCAGGTAGACTTTTTATCAAGCAATAAATTAACTGATCAACCAACAATCAAACCCATCTTTAAAATATTAATAGAAAATAAATAAGTAAACAAAAACCATTGTTTTTGTTTTGTTGTGCAACGACAAAATCAAATGATGGGATATTAAGACGGAGGCAACCTCAACGACCATTTACATGTGAAAACCAAACGAAAATGCTAATGTTAGTACTAAATTAATGAAAAACAATAAAGAAAATGAAAGGGAGTGAAAAACCCAGGTGCAGAACCTTCAATGGTTGCCAATGAAAGCGTATTTTAATCACCCTGTTTCTCCCATTTTATCAAATTCCTATATCTTTTCCTTTATTTTATTTTTCTTTCGTTGTCACTCAACCAATTCCTTTCCTCTTGTTGGCCCAAATCTCTGCTACCCATTTCTCATTTTAAGTTCCCAATGGCAGATCTCAAGTTCTCTTTCGCTGAAACTTTTCTTTGCAGTGCTTTTGCTGCTTGTTTTGCTGAGGTATTCACGATCTATGGATATAAATATAAATGTGCTCTTTCTTTTTCTTTTTCTTTTTTTGTTTGATAATTGTGATTATTTTCTTCTTGATTGCTAGTTTAGTGGGGAAAAAGGTTGATTTTTTTTTTGTATTAAGGTGGAAATTATATGCATATATCTGCTTTCTCATGTTTCTATCTGAAGCTTATTGCTTGATGCTTGCTTCTTATTGTTGTTTAATTTGCTGATAATGATTCAGTTTGTTTCGTCCTTGGCATTGGCTCCTTGTTTCTGGCTGGATCTTTGATATTTTATCAGTTCAACAATGTTAAGAACTTTGCACGAAAGTTTTAGATCCAAATAATTCATCAAGCTTTGGTAGTATTAGGAGACGGTCCAGTGGTACTAGCTCGGCCTGATTTTAGATGCTTGGTTATTTGTAAGAAATGTATGTTCAAGTGGTAGTAATTCAATTATATATCTTCATAAGGTTGAAGATACTCATACTACGAATTCTTGTTCTGATTTATCCGTGGATATATGCCTAATCTGCCTTTTTACCCTGTTCAGTTTAACAATCATTGTTTAATCAAGATCACAGGAAGCATTGCTTGATATCAGAACTTTTATATGGAATGATATGGAATACTTTTTTCTACTTGTCTGGTGTACAGTAGCATCATAAATGCTTCGAGTTTAAATTGAACTATTCTTGTTCAATCTGCTTCACATTGTTTCTTCAGCAATTGGAGAGGCGTTTCCCATACTTCTTTTATTTTCTTTTTGCTTAACACTCTTCTTTTACTTGAGCATTGTGCTTGCGGTTTTGCAGTTCTGTACCATTCCTTTGGACACTGCCAAAGTTAGACTTCAGCTCCAAAAGAAAGCAGTTGGTGATGAAGTTAATTTACCTAAATATAGGGGCTTGTTGGGTACTATGGCTACTATTGCTAAGGAAGAAGGGTTATCAGCACTTTGGAAAGGAATAATCGCTGGCTTACATCGCCAATGCATTTACGGAGGTTTAAGGATTGGGTTATATGAACCGGTAAGGCTATGGTTTTGTGGTTTTCTTTTCTTCTTTTCTTTTGGTAATAGATTGACATGTATTGTAAATGGTGACAGGTCAAAACATTTTTAGTTGGCAGTGATTATGTTGGAGATATTCCTTTATACCAAAAAATTCTAGCAGCTTTATTGACTGGTGAGTTAATCGTAACTACTCTCCTGTGTACATCTTCCATTTTTAGTTTTATACCGTGTTTTGTCAGATTACAGGTGCTGCACTCATAATCAATGTTTGCCTTTTGATTCGTTAAAAGGATGCTTTTGCAATAAGCTCATATAAAAGTTATTCACATCAAACAGGTGCTCTAGCTATTGCAGTCGCTAATCCAACTGATCTTGTTAAAGTTCGACTGCAAGCTGAAGGAAAATTTCCAGTTGGGGTCGCTAGGCGTTATTATGGGACTTTGGATGCATACTACACGATAGTTAGACAAGTCAGTTTTCTTAGAATAATACTATCCTTTTTTTTCTTGAGAAATTAATTTACTTATCATATAAAATTTTCAATAATCAGGAAGGACTAGGGGCACTGTGGACAGGACTTGGGCCCAACATTGCACGAAATGCCATTGTAAATGCTGCTGAACTAGCCAGTTATGATCAAGTGAAACAGGTGAAATTTCAATTTTATGTAAACTAAGTTGAAGTTACTCATTTTGATAAAGTTGGTATCATGCTTGGCTAGTATGGTTGTTCTGGTGAAGTTCTAACTTCTAATATCTTTATATTCATGCAGACAATTTTGAAAATTCCAGGGTTCTCAGACAATGTTCTAACTCATCTTCTAGCAGGTCTTGGTGCAGGTCTCTTTGCAGTCTGTATTGGTTCTCCCATTGATGTGGTAGGTATTTGATCTTGACTTCATCATCTGCTATGCTTGTTAAGAATTACAAGATTGTAAACTTTTGATTATTTGTTGTCTCTATCATAAGTTTTGTCCCATAGCTTTGAGCTTTTACTTTAGTAAATGGTTCAAACCTAGAATTAATGTCTGTTGCTTATCTTTGTCGCCAGAGTTGTTAAATTTGATTATAATCATGCTTTTTATTTCCGCTTTAATGCTTTGCTTCTGCTCAACCGGCATTTTTCTGAGAATCCAATGATGGTGTTTTATGGAATTGTTTTTATTGGTGCAACAAGTTTTAGACTGAAAACTTGAGCTGAACCTTTATTTTGAGATAAGCACCACTGGATATGAAGAACCACTGTGCCATTCTGTACTTTGGATTGGAATTGTTAAAGAAGATAATGTGCCATACAGTTTACATTGTGATTCTTTTTCCATGTTGAGACTTCTGTTTTAGTCTAATTTGTCTTCTAAGCGTCAGAGGCAATGGCAAGGCTATGCTTGTAGAAGATTTTGGAGCTCTGTATCACATAGACTGATTTTGTAAAATTTATCATGTTGGGTGGATGGATCTGCTTGTTATGTTTCAGGTAAAATCTAGAATGATGGGAGACTCTGGCTACAAAAACACTCTTGATTGTTTCATTAAAACTTTGAAGAATGAGGTATGTTGATTTTCTGGTTGGTTTATCTGCATCTCTTCTAGATTTCTCTAGATTCTATACATATCTTTTTGGTTACACTTTATATTCTTGGTACTACTGGAGGGTCAAAATTGGTAACAGAACTATAGATTTTTGCATGTTCCTGGGCTGAAAAATTTTACTTTTATCATTGTTACTATCCCTCTGTGTAGTTAACTTAAAGCTTCAAAAAATAGTTGGCTTTTGTTGCTCATTACATATGTATCTTGAGTCCTTTCTCAAAGATGCAACTTTTGACAGTTAGTCTTGATAGAAACTGATTTTTGACTAGAAAAGCATTATTATGATGAGTAGTAACTTTTTGCTAGTTGATGCGTCACAGGGATTCTTTGCCTTCTATAAGGGGTTTCTTCCAAATTTCAGTCGGCTAGGATCTTGGAACGTGGTTATGTTTTTGACTCTTGAGCAAGTAAGATCTGCATTTTAGATTTGAAATTTTATACTTTCTTTGAATTGGCCCGCATTAATCTTTTTCTAATATATGTATGCATGTGCATTCCAATCTCCCGTTTTGTATTTTGCAATGGTGTTTCCAGTTCTATCTCTGCATTTAGGCTAAACACACTATGATCCCACATCTGGATTTGGAAAACTGCCATGTTTATTTGGCTCAACCTTAGTAGTGCTATGTTATGTCTGAACCATTAGACATGCCTGGCACGGTGGCATCTTAGCGAATTTTTAAAGAAATTAGACCTTTGCCAAAACTTCACCTGTATTCAGTACAGATCTTAATTTATATATCTATTTTAATGTTTTTTGTTTTGACAAAAGGGTGGGAAGATTTTTCTTTCTCATGTTATTTGGATACAGAGACTTTTTCTATTCAAAGCTTTGAATCTTAAGAAAACCTTTATATTTGCTACCATTGATGAATATGCTTTCCTTGTTATGTTGATGACAGGCTAAGAAAGTTTTCCGGGGCGAATTATATTATGACTGATTTTAGCTTGCAACTCGGAAAACACAGCTTTTGCTTGCTTATTGTCCCTTCGATTCTTGAGCAGTATATTTTTTGAGCAAAGAGTAAGGTAGGCATTGCATTTGCCATTTTTTTTTTTTTTTGTAACTTTTCATTTGTCTTAGATAAAATAGTGTCATTGTAACCATTAGTGAACTTTTCCTCACACTTTTGTGGGAATACAAGCTGTCTGTCTGTCTGTCTGTCTCCTCCCAACCAAACTGAAATTGGCAAATATTTGCCCCATTGTATTTGGAATCATGTAATACCAACATTTGTGGGACATTCAACAAACATTGCTTATTCTTGAAGTAAAACATGAGATATTTAAGTTGCTTGGACCTGATGTGCCCTCCATTGCCTTGTTTGATAGCGGAAGGAAACTTGGTTGAAGGTGGAAACAATACTTTGCTCTCGTTCAATCAATATACCTCCCCCCCACTGTAAATCCTAAAACATATCCAAGCAGAGACAAGAAGTCTAACCATAACTGCTTCAAGTCCTAGCTGCTAGGTAAACCCTTGCCTTGACAACAGATCCATTTCCTAGATTGAACCCAGGGCTAACTGGGAATCCCACGATCTGACCAGCAGGTACCAGCCCACCTGAAAATTTGACAACGCTTTCCATATAATGTGGATGAAATTCTGCACCCCTACTTGCCTCAAACTGACTTGGTGAAGGGTCAAGTGAGAATGCAAGCAAATGAAGCAACCAAATTGCCTTAGCCAGTCTCAAGAACTCCCTATAAAACTGACTCCTAGGGTGGTTTCCAGCCATTACTTGGCTGCGCTGCTCCAGGTCTCCAAACAAGGACTCTTCCATCTTCGGATGAACAATGGCAAGGTACTTCTTGAAGCAGAATTTGCCAAAATGGCATGTAGGCAAGATTCCAAGAAGTTCAACCGGTTCCATTGCTTTCATGTCACGGTATTGAGTGAAGCACTCCCGACGGTACTGATCGGGATTAAGCAGGGAAGAGAGGCTGCCATCCATGTAGAAAGTCTCGTGGTCGAAGCCTTGAAAAAATTTGCGTGTAACATATGACTCAAGCGCATACTTGGCATGGTGATTTGCAGCGACTGAGGGGGTGATGGTGGTGGTTTGGGTGGCGGTATCAGGAGTGGCGGTGGCAGCTTCTATAGATCGGACAGCGGCGGCGACGTCCCAGCGAGCCTCTCGCATGAGGGAAAGGAGGAGAGATGTAAAGGACTTTGATGCCTCCTTCATCTGACTCATTGTGGCCTCAAACAGCTCTGGATCTGGTGCTACTGCAAGTACTGTCACCAGGAATAACCAAAGATTAATGCTTGATTCAAACCTTAAAATTCCCATATAATTTGCCAAAAAAAATAAAAACTAATGATTTCCTGATTCCTAGTTATCTAAAGAAAAATGAACGAAGACTCAGTTTGACTATGGCTTCCAGATAACGTGGCTGGATGCCATTGGTCAGAATAATATTCCAACGTTTTCTGCTTCTTATAATTACCAATATAACCCCAAGTTTCAGCAAATTACCTTGACTGCAGCCGACTTTCCACTTGGAGAGACCACGCTTCTTTCCACCATTGGAAAGGCAGGTTACAGTATTCAGCTTCTCTTTCAAGTTTTCGATCTCCACCTCCTTAACCTTCAATTCTCTCTTCAACTCCTCCACCGCCGCCTCGTATGGCGCAACCACTACCCTCAGCATAGCCACGACTCCACCACCACAACCACCACGTCTCCCTCTCTTAAACCTTTCCCTCAACACCCCAAGCCTCCTCAACTCCCCCACCACCGCCATGTCAGCCCCCCTCATCCTCTCTGGGTCCCACGGACAATGCGCCTCTTGTAACCTGACGTAAGCTTTCTTCATTTCCGCCACGGCCTCGAAAACTTCCTCTATTAACGTCACCATTTCCTTCTCTCCATTGTTCCAAACCCTCCTTATTCTCCTCGATTTTTCCACGTCTTTCACTCCATTTTCTTTCTCTTCATCCTCACTCGAATTATTGTACTCCTCAATAACGGTGTGAGCCACGGCGTCAACGTCGCCTGACTCGTGCCCACCGGCGGCGAGGGGGTGCAACAAACAAGAAGCTGCAACTCGTTGTATCAGATCCGAAAAGTTCGATACGTTGGTCGCCATTTCTCCCTTCTTCTTCACCTTCACCGCTGCTCCGTTTCTGAGACAACCAAAGTGAGATGAGCAACGACTCAGTGAGTTAAAAAGCTTGAGTCTTTTCAAGCAAAGTTAGAAACTTTTTTATTAAATTAGGATGGGCATGATAAAAGGTAACACCACTGCCGTTGAAGATAGCGGATACCCAACACCAAGAAAAAAGAAAAAAAAGAATGTTTTCTTTTTATTTTTTTTAATTCAGACAGAAGGCTGACCTGGAAATGTGGGAATTTTCAGATGTTAAAGAGAATCTAGACGATTGATTCTGAGACGGATCTCTAGAAAAAAAGTCAAGGTCTTGGCTTCGGTTTCCCGGCTATCCCGGTTGCCTTTCTTCTGCCTGGTTGTACAACAGAAAACTAATCCATTGTCAAACCTTTTCACTGTAAAGTTGGTTTGGACGTGTGATCTGTCCAGTTGTATTTACCAGAATGCCCTTGTTTGGAAACTTGGGTAGTGTAGATTTTAGTTTGTGTGATTATGATAAGGTTAAAGAGAAGGAGGAATCACATGAGGTGGCGTAGATGATGGTGCTTTCCTTTATGCTGGGATATTTTCAAGACTGAAGGGCAGGTCCCCCAAAGGAAGGAGGATATAGATGAAGGAAAATTCATGAATTTGACAATTGCTTGAGTTTTGGCATATTGCTATCCAAGTTTTGCAGTTGTAATATCATTCCATCCAAGTTTGTGTAAAAATGGTAGGGCGAGAAATTTTTAGAACTTACCAACATGTTCTCAACATATGTTGTTATAGATGGAACAGCACTAATTTTACATTCAAATGAATCCTAAATTTGTTTTATAATTTTTTTTTTTAAAAGGTCTTTCTCTTTATAGAAAGAAACATTTGACTATTGAATTTGAGATTTGGTAATGTATTCTTTGTAGAAAGTTTTATGAAGTTGATGTTTGGGCCTTGCTTTATATCCAAGTCAAGTTGATTTAGACTAAGGTGAAGAGCATTGCATGGTTTCCATGTGCGAAGGAATTAGTACAAGAAGGAAGCCAAGAGGCTTTTTCATTTAATGACAGTGGGACTGGCATTAATGTCTGGTTTGTTTAGAAAACAACAATGCTCGACGTACGACCAATAAGATCTGCAGAGTCAAAATATCAAGCAATAATTAAGCAAACCCAAATAAAATATCTTCCATTGCCATTAAGAAGAATTGACAGAGAAGGAGCTAAACAGGGTTTGCAAGTAAAAAGAAAACATAAATAAAAATGGAGTGGCCGGATCTACGAGAAGACCGGACAGACAAATCATCACACTTGCGTTTGCCGGGAGTCGAACCCGGGTCTATTGCTTGGAAGGCAATTATCCTAACCGTTGGACTACAAACGCTCGGCGGTATGTTAACTCCAGATATTATTATTTAACACATAGAAAAAGGAAATCTTGAAATCTTGAATTGTTCGTTTCTTGTTAAATGGTTTAAGGAGTTGTGAAAATATTGCTTTTATTTGAAGCATTTTAGATGATTTCTCCACGAATCTAAAGCATTTAACATTGGCGATATAACCAGAATTAATATTTTAGTATAAGATTTGTGTGGTAAGTGGTGATACTTGTATTATTACATAGTGGTTCCATAGACTAGTTTGCTACTAGTCTTTCCCTTCCCGGTTATCTGATTTTTTTTTCCCCTCAAAATGAAACCAGAAAATAGTTTACAATGGAAGCGAAGTGAGAGGAATATATGGAAACCGAGAACTATACGTATCTCAATAACCAAACACCACATGGTACAAATGCAATCGTCCAAGAAATTTTTCTTGTTACTATTCTCTTCAGTTATAATTATAAAAGAAAAGAAATTTTATTGATAATGGTGGGTTTCCATTCCAGACAAGAACGAGGTTCATCAAGGTGGAGAACGCAAATGGCAGAAGCTTCAGTCTGGAACCAGATTTAGATGCCGACTGCCATGCCTCTTGCAAGGGAAATCCAGCAACAAATGACTGGATTCCAGCTGCTTCCGATGTGGTAAACCAACAAAGCTTGGCTACTTTCATTAGCATTTAAAGAAGATAATAGATTTTGATTGGCTATGATGAAATTATTAGGTCTTAAGCTAAGCTGAAGAAGGTATGTTGTCTTTCCAGGACTGACAAAGGGGGAAATGGTTAAACATCTTTTCTGATTAAGGACCCATGTCATCTTTAACTCTATCACGATTATGGATCACAGAATAATATATAGATCACACTCCTGTAATGTACAAACTAGCTGCGAAGACTATATCACGTTTTATGGCATTGGAAGCAGATTCCATTTTCTTGTAAAGAGATGAATTACCCATTATAGCTGCTGCAGTTTTAAACTCACGACAAGTCTCATCCAGCCTGACAATTGTCCGCACGATAAGGCCTTCGGGAACATCTGTGAGCTCACATATGTCTGCAAAAGGAGTTCCCTGCAACAAGGAAGATAATATATATATATATATATATATATATATATATATATATGAGATGATAACGACAAACCAAAACCTAGATCAAGGTCTAATCAGCATGTCAAGTTATGAAACCTTTGCCCATTCGTAAACCACTTCAACAAGACCAAACTTGAGATTTTCTTGTACGTACTCCTCCGGTGTTATTTGTAATTTGAACTCTGCTTGAAGCTTACCAAGTCTTATAGCTGTGTCATACAATCTGGAAGAAACAACTATCATATAGCACGGCATAGAATAGTTAAAACTCTCAATTTCAATCTAAGTACGAATAATGAGATGTTCAGAACTGTAATCTACAACTTTTGTTAAGTACACCAGCTTAAGTACATTACTTTGCTGTTATCTACTTAAGCAAGTATTGAGAACTTGAAAATCCTAACTTTATAAGCACCCAATTTCTCACACAAGACATTCAAAAGTTACTATGGGACCTAGATTAAGATTTTGATCAGAAAAGGGAGTGTATTCAGTTTGGTTCAATTTTTAAACCAAATATTTGGTTTAAAAATTGAAACACCCAGTTGAACAATAAATTTATAAAACCTTGAATCTGAATTTTAATGGTTTGGTTCAGTCACTTAGTTTTTGTTCCTATAGTCAACGAGATTTAACTTTGACACGATCTCTTGGATCTTGTCCAACTATTTGGACTTTAAAACAAAAGATTGTTTTTAATTTCATATAAATTAGCATTTAAACTGATAAAACATTTTTAATCCAATTTGATTCGGATTATTTTGACTTTTAAATGGCACAATTAGAATTTGACTGAGCTGAATGTTTTTGCCATAGCCAAATTGTGAACAATAAAAATCAAAACCATATTAGGCAAAATAATCTCCAAAAGAAATTTCAAAGACTTCACATGCATAAAAGGAAAATAGAAAGACAAGATAACCTTTGTTTGGCCTGAGAGAGCTTGGATGTAAGAGAAGGTTTAGAAGTGTTCTTCTGCTGAAACACAAAGGCCGACATTAAAGCTACTGCTTCTTCAGGTTCCAGGTCATCGAGTTGATTCTCAAATAAACATTCTGTGCATATCAATTCCTCCCCTGAATTCATCTCACAGGCAACACGACCTTTTAGTTGAACCACAAGGTTTTCATCTATACAACCAATTTCCTTCAGAACATCAATCTGCAAATAAGCTTAACGTGTTATAAAAGATGCCAAATAATGATCAACAACAGAAAATCCATCTTATTCAAAGCAGACAATGGCCTAAGAAATATGCAACTGGCAAGGCCATACCCGGCCCTGGAATTCTGGCATCTGTTGGAGCGCCTCATTAGATAGTTGAAATTCAAGAGCATTAACTTCCTCTTTATGCTTCTTAATTTCTCTAGCTAACTTAATATGCTCCTCCAACTTTATACATTCATGGCACTTATTCTCTGACATTTTCTGCAGCAGGTGGGTCCATTTGTAGTATGTTTTAACAAGATCCATATCCTTCAGTTTCAGATCTGAAAAAAGAATCACCATTAGAAAGGTCTATTTAGATTTACTCAAAATCCTAAACTATGATCACCAAAAGGAGCATGCTTTGTGAATGAAAAGAAAAATGACTAAATTTGTTTTTTGGAATGACATGCTTTATCCGGATCTCCCTAAATCAATTCCCTGATATAATTCAACTAAATGAGATGCTACTTCCTATACCAATATATAAGGTGGTAGGGGAAAAGCTATTTGAGTAAGTACACAGGCCTAAAAAGAAAACCCTCATTGAGGATCATTATCCTAAATGCTGGAAATCATTGTGTCCCCCGGCAGGCAGAACAACCTATAAGCAAGAGAGAGCAACTGGCAAAAGGGCTTGTGTATTTATTGTTTTCCCCTTAGATCTGCTGAAACACTACAATTGTCCTACATCAACAAGGCATCAAAAGTGCTTGTTTGTTCTTCCTAAATTTCTGATAACATGTACAATTAAATACCTTAGAGATAAGTTGCCAAACGTCTAAGCTTCATTTACAGCCCTTAGGAACTATTAAAATGAAGAGATGCACTTCAACTTTCCCCAAAATATCAACATTCCATGGATAAAATAACACCCATACCTTTAACTGGATCTAAGGCAGGAGGATATTTGTTTCCATTAGACTTCAATTTCAACAGCTGCTGAACAGTGTTAGAGAAAGCAGCATTGCTACCATATTCAAGAAGCCCAACTTGGTCCACTTTTATTCTTCTATTGCATATGCATAAGAATTCCGTATTGTCAGTTTCTCTGACCTCAAAACTCACTCCTGCAGCAGCACCCTGGTAAGGCAGTGTTATGTTGATGATACCTGATCCTTTACGTGGGACAGCAGATACACGGTAGTCTTCTTCAAGACCACGCTTGGATTTTGGTAGCAGCACATAACCTTGATGGAAATCGGCACTTCTCTTATCTTGCAAGTTACTACTGCCTGAGGGAGTTTGAGTCATTGATGGCTCGTCAGGTTTAAGAACTAGCACAATATATTGTTTGTTATTAGCAGAAGGTGATTTCACGACAACTCCTAGTAAATGGTCCTGGGCCTGTCAATTTTTAAGTGCATATATTTTAGTACCCATGATCAAACAATGAAATGAAAAAGCCTCCACTTAAAAAGGTCAACATGAGTAAGACACATAAGACCCTCAAACAAGAGGTAACAGCAAAACCAAATTAACATATGGCATAGAATACTGTTACCAGCAATAAACTATATGGAGTGGAAAGCATCTTTCCACATCATCAAAATGACTGGGTTTAGTTTTACTTTCTCCCTCATGAGAGGTAATGTAGAAGAACAATAGACAACTGAACTGGAAATCAGCCAGTTTTTTTTATCTTATGATTAGTTCTTTAATTTGTTCAAAAAGTTGCAAAAATCATGCATCTTATAGCAAAAAAAAATCCAAAAAAAAAAGCTCCAAGTAGGATGATCATCAAATAAGACAACTGTGTGGAAGCCAAACTTTTCTTTGTCTGTTGGGGAGGGGGAAGATGCATGGGAAATTCTTAGCATTCCAACTTTCAGAATCCAAAACCAAGGCTTTTTCACAAGTTAGTGAATACCGAAAGAAAGACTTCCTTTGGTCAGAAGTAAAACATCTTTCTAAGTAAATTTTCTTGACAGAGGTTACAAGTGCATCACTAATACTGGAGCACCTAAAAAAGACAGAAACTGAAACATGCCAACAACTAAATTGAAGTAACTCACTGATTGAGATTTCACCACAACCACTCTCCCATGGATAAGAAATTGTTGGACAACAGGGGACTGCATGACAGCTTTTGATATTTGTTCATCGTGTTCCTCAGCTTCTGCATGCATCTCATAGTACTCTTCAATTGCCGGTTCACCTTTAATACATCTACATGCAAATAGCCACATTTGAAAATGAGGATAAATATCAACCTTGACAAGTGTTCAAAAACGATGAGATAATGCTGAAAGTTATTACAGAATCACTTAAACTTCTAAATGTTTTTAAATCAGTGCATTGAATAATGCTACTTACACCCTGCAATGGTACATTCTGTATCAAAAATCAAATCTTAAAAGACATCCATTCCCTTTAAAAAAAATGCGATTAAAACTACAGCAGCAAGTATCAAAATTGGCATTCACTTTACTGGATCAGTATCCAATAAAAAATCTTTCTCACATTGTTTGTCTTGCCATATTCTGTTACTTCAACATTTAGAAAGGCAGATGAAACCTTTTATTTTCATTTTTTATCTGAAAGAAGTAAACATGCAACCCATGAACCAAACAAGATTGCATGAACAATGCAACATGATCGCAAAGTATAGAACTTGTCAAATCACAAAGCAGAACAAGCAGAGCCAGCTAGCATCAGTTTATAACATAGCTGTCATAGCCCAAACCATCAAGATGTGCACTAACACATGTAAAAAAAGAAAATTTTGCAGGAAGAAAACATGTAAACCTTACAGCCATGTTCACAATCAAGTTTGCATCATGTAAACACTTACTCTATAGTTTTCTTTGGCTGCGCAAGCTTTCGCATTAGAAGTTGTTGCTGCTCTGGAAGTTTCTTCTGAGCATGAAATTCAGCAAAACTCCGTTTCAACATGTCTTCCACCTGGAATCAAGGTCCACTTATGGTTCCCAATGAATGAAAGTAAACTTCGAAAACTTCTTGTAATATATATAATTGTATTTTATCAGGAAGACTGTCAATCATTAAGGTTCTGAAAAATGCACCTTAGATTAGAGATCACTAGGTTTTTGTCTATGCAATGTCAAGTTTGATCCTTGGGATGCAATGAACCTAACAACCGAGGCACAGTGCATTATAGCTAACAATATTCCTGAATTAGTATTTATTAATGAAAGTCAAGGACTAACCCTAAAGAGTGACCGAATATATTGGTAGGAGATGGGATAAACTTTGCTTACTAGGCTGAGAATTAAAGCTGTCGTCTGTTTTTCTTCAAAAAACAGATTTATTTATCTTTTGTTCATCAATAAAATACAACAAGCTTCTGCAGGAGCATTCTCATTACTGTTGGTCAACACACAAACACAGTGGACAAAAAAAAAAAAGAAGAAAGAAAGAAAAACCCCAAGTTAGTGCAAGGACTAAACAGAGCTTAAAGGGTTGATATTAAACCAACCTGATAGACAGATGAAAAGAGAGAAAATTACAAGAAGGCTGCTAAAAATGAACCATATTATACTAGAGACCGTGGAATGTGACACAAAAAATCAGAGATGAGTAATACCTATATTAAATAGGTCTCCCGTCCAAGCACAGTAAAATTGAAACAGTCTTGCAATGCCAAATGGTGAAGAATGAGCAACATCATAAATTCCCAAATACTGGGATGTTAAATTATTAAATACCAGGGGATAAACAGCTCTAGTCCACTCCAAAAACCATAAAATACCTTCAATTCTTCCACACGAAGGAGATGCAGGATCATAATATATGTCAATCGGAACTGAGATTCAAGCTTAGTTGGAGTTCCAGTTATAATATGTTTCAAATCCCTCTCTTCTGGAATTTCATCACGGCACATCACGATTACTGTACCAATTTTATCAAGTCCTCTTCTGCCAGCACGACCTGCCATTTGAGTGTATTCCCCAGGAAGTACCTGTCTAAATTCCTTGCCATCAAACTTCCTTAATGTATCAAAGACAACCTGCAAAAAATCTTAATGCAGGTCAAAATCAGATTTAAGAAAGTAACTATATAAGTACACCAATGTGCATAGTTGAAAGCAGACTTTAACATTATATGCTTCTATACTAAACATGCTAAGCATGTGTAAAAGAACCAATTAGCATTTGCCAGTCCTCAATATTTCAAATAGAGGCATACAAAACAGAAGGCATATTGTGCAAAATAACAATATGTAGGCTCATATAGGCAAAATTTCATCCAAAAGTTGTCAGCTGAAGCAGAATAGACAAACTTGATCTTGAGTCAATCCAATTCAGCAACCCGAGAAGGCACTTCAGGTGCTGAAATATGCACTAGTGATCCTATTTGGCAACAATAGCAACAACATCAAACATCACTCACCGTTCTGGCCGGAGCATTTACCCCCATTGCAAATGTCTCTGTTGAAAACAAAACCTACAACATAAATAACAAGAGGTGACAACTACTTATAGCCCATTTAAACTGTCAAAAAGAAAGCAAAAAGCATGCTAAAATAAATCCTAATAAAACCAAACTAGGATTTCTAAACAGTTTTCTATAGACACAAATGCAGAATCATTTTGAAAGCCCAAACAATCAAATGTGGATGTCACACTGCATGAAACCAGTACGTTATTGAACACTTTTACCTTAATCACACCTCGACAGAAGAGCATTTCAACAACTTCCTTAACAATTGGAAGCAAACCTGCATGATGTATGCCAATTCCTCTGCAAAGAAGGCTCTGAACTCTGACAACCTGTACATCACAATCAAATTAGAACTTCTGAAATAAAAGGATTTATACAAATTTAAAATTGAATATCTAGAAGATGAAACCTGAGGTAAATTGCGATCAGATCCCTTCAGCCGTGAAAAAGCTTTATCACAAAAAACACGAATCTCACTTTTCTCAGAACTACTAGTGAGGTCAGTCCCGGAGATGCTGTCAGCTGATTTATCACATTGATTCTTTGAGAACCCAAATATAACCACCTACATAAAGGTCAATAGCAAAATTTGTCGAGTTAACAAGGAAAGAAAAAAAAATATTGGGGGAAAAGAAACATTGTGTGATTCTATAAACATATTTCTTAATTAAATATGATAACCAATGAAGGCAATTAGGAAATAAATTCACATGGTCCCCGTTAAATTGGCCATCCAAAAGTGCATTGATTAAGCATGAACACCCCAGATTTGATTGTTTCTCACCCTTCATCACCAGAAAGTAAATATCCACTTAAAATAGTCACCAAGATAAATAAACCAATGACACAATGGATCACACTGGATGCTGGTTTGCAGTGAATATCGCAAGATTTGCAGCAGTTATTAGAACTACAAATACAATTCCATTTTCAAACAAAATACATTACTAATATACAATAATGCAGAAATATATTTCATAGCACTTCTTCCTCTTCATTGCCTCTTTGTTTCTTCTAGAAGATTTTCTGGAAGTTTTTGGTCTCTTTCAACTTGCTGTGTTTTGCATTTTCATTTCTTGTTTAAGATAGGAGAAATAAAGAAACCAACTGAGAAGTTATCAGCTTCATTTTCAAATACAGCCTAAACCAAACAAGCTGCACATTTAAAGAATGTGTTCAAAGAAGATAGTATAATCTAACTTACAGGTAATAATGACTTCTTTGAGAGCTTGTCAATAAGCAACAACCATGTTGATCTCCTAGAGCCCCAACTATTCTGGCCACCTCCAGTTCTTTGATTCCCCCAACCAGTCCCAGAATAATTTCCCAAGTTTTGTGGACCAGAATGCTTATTTTGTTTCCCTCGGTTAGAAATTTCACGTTTCTGACCTCGAGGCCCATCCTGAACTGCAGAAAACCCACTAGATGAACCAGTACCACCACTGACTGCATTGGAATTCTTTTTCTTGTACGCATCTTTAGCAGCCTTTAGTCCTTGTGACATAAAAGTTTCACTTTCACATATTTTGTAAAGTTCTCCAGAATAAAACAGGCAATGTTCCAAAGGGACAGGTCTTTTTGTTGTCCTGAAAATGGAATATCCAACAGGAAGTTAATGTCAATAAGTTGATGCAAAAAGATAGCACAGATCTTTTCTGCAGTATTTCAATTTTTCAGCAAAAAGAAACAAAAAAGGCAGGAGGGAAAGGTAATAAAGAAAATGTCAAAATTTTCAAAAGACTAAAAGCTAGTGATACAACTTAAGAATCTAGCTTCAGCCACAAGCAGAGATTTACTAGTTACCCGGTAACATGAATTTCCTTTTGCTTTGTCCGACCAATCCAATCAGCAAACTCTTTTGTATTAGGCACCTGTATAAGATAGCATACAGATGTGTCAGCAATGTGTAGGCAGTATAAAGAGAGACACAGAAAGTTATGGTTTTTTACAGAAACAAAATGTATTAAAGAACTGAATAGCTTAAATCAGGAATGATCAGTTTAATTGTTAATTTTCAATAGTGACATTCACAATATGGAAACCATCAAGAATATACTGTATTGCCATTGTGTATCACCAATCGTATCTGGTTTATCAGGCAAAATAATAGAGAGTGCTTCTCCCATTCACCCAACTTTGCATCCCCACCATTTACAATAGGGCATCCCAGAGGCAAAGGTGTAAAAGCACCAACTGAACAATTATCTATTATCAGCAATATGTAAAAGCACTAAGCTTATAGGGAAAGACCAAAGTTACAAACACCAAGCTTATAGGGAACTCTAATGCTTGAGGAGAAAGTACCGTGGCAGAAAGGAGAATGATATTAATATGCCTCGGAAGCATGATTATGACTTCTTCCCAAACCACACCTCTTTCAACATCATTCACATAGTGCACCTCATCGAATATAACCTATGACCATATGGTCACAACATAAAGCAACATTAAAAATTTTTGTAAGTCATTATAATTAATAAATTACAGAAAGAACAAACTAAAGCATTCGGCAGCTAAAGAAGTAATGAAATAACAATTTAAAGGGCTGCCACATAAACAACCCCATTTTACCCATTCAATATCGCGAATAATATCTGCACCCCGATAAAGCATTGACCTTAATATTTCAGTTGTCATGATGAGACAAGAAGCCTCTGGCCTCAAACTAACATCACCTGTGAGAAGGCCAACATCAAATTTCCCACAGAAATCTCTGTACTTCTGATTGCTGATTGTTTTAATTGGAGCAGTATACACAGCTCTAGTGCAATGCTGCATGACACAAAAACATAATAAAAAATCTTGAAACTAAATCAAATTTGGTATAGAACTTCAGAAACTATGGATATCGAAAAGATATGGCCTCTAGTTCTTAATCAGCGTAAAGGATTCATCACATCTGCTAACAAAAAACAAAAAAATGCCTATAGATTTGATTATCATACTTTTGATGACAAAGCAAATGCATATTCTGCAACAACTGTTTTCCCAGCAGAAGTATGAGCAGCCACAAAAACAGACTCCCCCTTTTCTAAATAATAAATAGCCTGTAATCATCATAATAAACAAAAAACTTATGTGAGCAGGTTGTTATAGAAGATTAAGAGACATACTTGAAGGAAAAAAGACTGCAATCATAAGAAGGAAAGGAATAAAAGCAACCCATACAAAGGTTTTATAAGTGGATAAACCTAAGGCAATTACATAATCCCTGTGTACTAATAGAAACTCTAACGAAAGCAGGATTTCTTTGAAGCATTTATGATACCCCAATTGTATTCAGTTCAATTGATAATCCAGTCAAATAAAACAAAGAACATCAAGCTCTCATAAATGGCAAAACAAAATTAATCCAACCAGGTAAAAGGGCACTGCTCAACGTTTTAGTTAATTGGAAGAAAAGTATAATAGAGATAAATGATACTTGAAAGTTGTACAAGCATGAGTAATAAGAAAACCAAAAGGATGACTTTGACAAAATAAATATACTTTGGATATCACTTGACCAGTCAGGATTCCACCAAATAACATAATCTTAGGAGAATCTGAATCATATAAAAGAATCCATTTCAATTAAAGGTCTCAAAGATCAGTAGGGGTGTCATTTCCCAGACCAAAGGTACTTTCAGAAGTCTGGCAACATCATTTTCTACCCTAACCATAATAAATTTATCGCATTCAAATGATAGAATAAAATTTTCAAGATAGATACCTCCTTCTGGAATGTATCCAATTGAAAAGGAAATTCAATTGCCATGTCAGGAACTAGTTCATGAAATTTATCAACAATCTCTTCACTACTTCCACTAACAGCCCAAGCCTGTCAATAAAGGGTCTCATTAACCAAAATAATTAACAAAAGGGAATGATAATAAAAACAGAATGCATAGCATGGAGAGGGTTGCAGATGAGACAAATTGTTCTAAACTGCAATTTCAACTACTTTACCTCCTTTTGTTGCTGGCCACCCCCATAAATTTTCTCATCAAATCTTTCTGCTTCAACTGACAATATCTCATCCAAAGCAGATGATCCAGTATCAGGACCATTAAGAACATCACCCTGGTTTGCCTCAGCTTCTGACTTAACGGAATCTGATTCTGTTGAATGTCCTTTTATACACATTGCATTAACAACAAAACCAATGGATTAAATGACCAAATAAGAAGGAACAAATAATGTCAGTTAAACAACATCTTCCTGGACTCTAGCTTGCAAACCACACTCCAACACGAGTTCAATGAAAGTTAAATGTTCTTTCGCAGGTTAACAGTTCCTGGAATTTCTTACATGAGTAGACTAGAAAGCCAAAATGGAAGAATGGATCAATTAATGACCTGTCCTCTAAGGGTGTAGGGACACATATATTCAATATAGATAAAGACCAATCTTTAGCAAGGTAGACCACTAAAGGTCAGCACTTTTTTTTCCAAGGCAGCTTGGAATAGCATACCCAACTGTTAAAAGGATCCAAAGGAGAGTTGCCAGCCACATGCAACTTCATGTTATTCCAAATAATAAACCATCAATGAAGCCAAAGTATTAGCAGAAATCTTGAATACATATACAAAATTCCAGTTATCAAAACATATAATTATTTTCTTCAAATATTTGTCCTAATGAATTTTGAGTGTTTACAGTATAATCTACTAAATAATAAAAAGGGTTAGGATTTTTAGCAAGCAGGAAATCTCTACAATCTTATCAAGATCAAGAAGAACCCTGATACACCAAAAGTCAGTTTACAAGAGCCAAAAAGCCTAAACTTCTTTACTATCATCCTCTTCCTCCCCCAACACCCCCCCCCCCACACACACACACGCAAAATAAGAAAAAAAATGCATACACACATCTCTAATAGTAACTATTCTCGGAATCTCAATCATGCATAGATACAACTTATTTTCATCAGCCAAACAAAGCCAAGGCAAAGCTCTTCAAGTGCTTTCATACATTTTTGCCCATGAGATCACAACTTTACAAGCATATGCACAAATGAAGAGAACATGGCATGAGTCATGCATACCATCTTTCTCAAATTCTGCAACATCCTCTTCCCAAGCTTTCCTGAACAAGTCGTCAAATTGTACAGACAACTCACTCTGCAAACACCATGAAAAAGCAAGGCACAAACTGTACATAAGACACAAGACAATTATTTATAACTGTTTCTATGGACATGATACTTATACTATTTTCATGATATTAGTAGGTTCAAGTTCATTCAGTCTTGACAATATGTATGTAATACAAAGTCCAATAACTAATAGATTGGTAATAGTTTCAATGGGAACAAAATACATCAATGCAAGACACTAACCAACTTTTCAACTGATGTGCTATTGAGTGCACTTTGGTCCTTGTAAACATTCCACAAGTAAGGATGTGCCTTCAAAATTAGAAATGTAAAAGAATTAGAAACAAAAAAGTAAAAAGACCTTATGATTTAGAAGGGAAAAAAAACATCTTCAATGATTTATTATGAAGATTACCTTAAGATTGCCAAGGTTTAACCCTTGCTTAAAGCCTGGAGGAATTGTCTGAGCAGGACCACCATTTAGCACCTCCCTAACCCACTCACCATTAGATGCACCTTCAGGAAGAATCCTCTCTAAAGATTGATCCTCCAAGCCTCCTGGACGAAAAGGGCGGTTATTAATGCTTCCTCTCACAAAATCTTTGGCTGCACCACCAAACATGCGTGGAAAAGAACCAGACGCTTCACCCCCAACTATTAGCTCTGACACATCCACCTAAACAATATAAGATTCCAATTCTACTTATCAAAACATAAACAAATAGAAGTACCATGAAAAGAAATCCTATACTCTGGCCAATGTCAAAACCATAAAAAAGAAGGAAATAGTCAAAGTCTAGAATAAGCCTTTTTTTTTCCTTTTCAAGGGAATACATACAAAAGAAAACAGTAGCAATTGCAAAACACACCTCAACTGAACTAGGTTCCCACTTTCCTTCAACTGATCCCTCCTTGCATCGTCTGAAGGGTAACTCCCAGACTGGGACCATAACAGTTCTCGGCAATGATGGCTCCAATGGTATTTTTACCCTGTCAAACCAGTCAAAATCCCATTGCCTTTCAGCTTTCTCTGGAGAAAAAGCATCCTCATCTAATCTTGGTAACAGATATTTCTCCTTTATATGCTCCTTAATCGATTCAGGCGTTTCCCTGGGAAATGCAGGTGGCTGAAACACACAGAAATAGAACTAAGTCACTACAAAACCCTAGAAACCGGAGCTACCTGAACTTAAACATCTTCCAAAAAAAAAGAAACGAGTGTAAAAACCGCACAGTAGTTAACTGTTTGCATATGATAAAAGTGAAGGAAAGAAAAGCTTACAAGAACGAAGTCGGGGAGGGCTTTGATAGGGTTATCTCTCTCCTCGGTGTAGAGAGGCTCGACTCTGAGGTGGCCGCTGTGGCCAGAGAATCCGACTCGGAAACTGAATCCATTTGCCGCTTGGATCGGTTTCATTTTCCGGTGCCGGGAATAGAAGGTTTTGTAGGGCTGTTTAGTTTCTGGTTTTGATTCGAAAGCTTTTTCGCGGGTTTCGAGTGAAGTTAAGACAAGGAGAGTATAATTTTCGAGTGCCACAGGCTCATTCAGCAGAGTTTGGGGCTTGTTTGGCTGGTATGATGGGTGTATGGTAGGATCGTATAAAAGAAAGAAAGACTTATACGAAATTTCTTCCGCGAAATTCGTTAAGCTTTTATTAAAAACGAGTAAATAAAAATTAAAATTAAAATTTTTTATTATATAACTTTTATAAAAAAATTAATAAATTTTAATGCAGATATTTTTAATAAAAATATTAATAAAAATTTTATCATTAAATAAATATGGATTAAATTTAAATTTTAAATAATTTTTTTATATATTATTAATTTTTACATTAACTTATTAATTTATAAATTTAAATTTTTATTAAATTATTTTTTATAAATAACTTTCCGAACTTTATCTAAATAATTGTACATATATTTTGTCATATAACAAAATTAGGGTACGGATTTTTTACCGTTGGCGTTGACGCTTGTGAGCTGGGCTTCTGATTTACCCTATCAGATTGCTTGATACCCAACTTAACAATCTTGGGCTTCAATGCTGCATAAGTCAGTTTTGAACTGAATTCCCCTATATTTGAGAACTCTAGTTCATAAATTATCTCAAACCGGCCCATTCAGCCTAATAAAACTCTATCAAATTCTTTTGGGTAAAATACATCATGATCCCTAAACTTTACATCATATGTCATTTTGACCCTATACTTTTAATAATAACTTATCACTTCTCATATTTACATGATAATAATGAAAACATCCTTCCGTTGTTAAAATCGTTAAATCATGCGTTAAATCTCAATTGATGCAAACTCGACTGACACATATTGTCAACTAAAAAATTAATTAATCTAAATTTTTATGAAATAAAGATATTTAAAGTTGGTGAACATATATATTTGATTGTATCTTGATTTTTTTAACAATAAATGTTCATCATTTAATTTATGAAATTTTTTATAAAATAATAGATTGAAACTTTAAATTTTTTAAAATACACGTGGAATTGAGCCTTTTCACTTTTATAAAAACTCTCAATTTTGGAATAAAAATAATAATTTTTTCTTCAAAAATTGTTTGTAGAATGACACCAAATCAGCGGTCTTGGGCCAACATGAAAAAATAAAAAGATTATAGATCTCTATAATAATTTAGCCCAATATAATTTAGTCTCCACAAAAGTTAGATTTATCAAAATCTCCTCACCTCTCTGTGCATCAAGCTTTGTTCCCCCTCAATTCAAACCTCAAAACGCCTAGGTTACGGATTTGAATGGATAATAAAATTAATTGTAACGAGATTAAAAAATAATAAAAATTATTATAATTATAATTAAAATATTTTTTAATAAAAATTTTATATTAAATATATTTTATTAAAATTAATATTTAAATTTAATTAATAATATGATAAATTTAATAATGTGATACTAAAAAAGCGATTAAATCCATACAAACATTTAAATTACCTCTAATCCAAAGAAGAAACCCAATGCAATGACCAAAAAACCCACGGGTCGCGGACTTGGAGCGGCAGAATTCAGCCAAATTTCAATGTATTCCTCACGTCGGCACTACCACAAACTTCAATTAGAGCCCATACAATACTAGTTTTGGGGTGAGTAGGGTTATCATCGGATCGGATTTAAGATTAGTTTTGCTCGTATCGAATCTAATCTGATTTTATGCATTAATAAATTTGAATCTAATCTTATTCGAAAATTTTTTTATTTATTTATGTTTAAATTTGATCCGATCCGATACTATATAAACCGTACTCGATCCAATTCGACTTGAAATTAATAAAATATTATTTTTTAAAATATAAAATATTATTTTTTAAATATAAATATTTAAAAATATCATTATATAAATATATATAAATAAAAAATTAAAAAATAATTTTTTAAATAATATCGGGTAGGGTCGGGTATGTCTAAAACTCGATCTCGATCCGGCTTCGATTGTTTTCCTAACCTTACCCGATCCGACCCGACCCGAAAACTCAAAATTCAAAAAAAAAAATCGATCTCATATGATCGGATCGGATCGAAACTGATCAGGGTCGGGATGAATTCCCATCCCTAGGGGTGAGTTTTTGCTTTGTATTTGTGATTTATTTTTTATTGTTACTATGCCTCTTAATTTTGTTGGTATTACAAATTAAATGTCGATGTTGCTTTTGACTCGAAAATTAATTAGACTTATATCCTATTTGTACTGCAAGATGCTAATAGAGTACTTGTATGGTACGATAAAATATTTTGAGGGAAAATTGATAGTATGTGAAAATTGTAATATATATTGGTTTTAGGAAAATATATGATTTTTTGAGAAATTAATTAATTTAAAAAAATTTAAGGTAATTATCGAATTCAATAGAAAAGATAAAATTGATATGCTAAAGTACAAAGACATAAAAGAATTCATTGAGACAAAATAACATTTAAATAATTGTCAGTTATTTTACTATGTGATGTACTAAGTTCTTAAAAATATATTAAATTAGATTTTTAATAAAAAAATGTAAAAAAAGTTATTCAAATATTAAAGGTTTTGGCTAATAACTATACTCTTGATATTAATTGAAAAAAAAAATCACCAAACTTCTTCTTATTTATTCTCGAATTTTTTTTTTTTTGAAAAATTCAATCATAATATTTTATATCTGCTTATCCTTAACTATTTGTTTTTTTATTTTTTTGAAAATTCAGTCATCATACCTTAAGAAAAATGTTTATACCATTAAACAAAAAAAAAATGCTCAAATCCTTTCATGTTCCTTATTCCCGAATCCAATTGTTTGATTTTTTATTTGTTTAAGAACAATCGTTCTTTCATCTTCCATTTTTATTTTCATAGGAAAAAAATATGACAAATAACCATTTTATTATGCAAATTTGAGATTTCAAAAACCTTTCGTTTCAAATTGAGTTAGTTAAATATTGAAGATTGCAAAAGAAATCTTCGTTATTTTGACAATAACATTGGAAATTCAACTCCAAAAAAAAGTAAAATTAATTAACAAAATTCATTTTATCTAATTAAATAAATGGATTAACCTTCTATTTGAGTGTTTTTTTAATTCTCTTTTCTAATTCTTCTTCTTGCATAAAAGTTGATAAATAATTTTTGCGATACTTGAACAACATTTTTAATTATCTATATTTATTTTATATAATGTAAATCTTATTATTTGTTTTCTTATAATATTTGAACAACTAAATACAAATGTTACATCTAACGTGTTGAACTAAGAACAATTTTTCTTATAAAAAAAAAAAAAAACGAAAGTAACTCACAATAGAGTAAGTAATGAAAAAGATATTACAGAACTTTTATTTTAATTAATTCTTTTATTTTATAATATTATACAAAAGAATATGGATTACATAATTTATTAATTTGAAAATAAGTCTAATACAATAAAACAACTTTTAACCTTTTTACATACGAGCACTTTCATACTGCAATTATGGATAAATGTTTTTATTTATATTATATAAATTTTTGTACTTTAATTATATATATTGTTCATGAATTTTTTAATATATTAAAACAAGATAAGTAGATAAATTTTTTATTCAATTATCAACTAAACAATATTTATTTTTATTAAACTCTTATGAAATTTTATCAATATTTAAATTTTATTAACCATTTATAATTTATAATGAAACTATAATATGAATAGTAGCAATGAGTAGTAAAGCAACTAATATAATATTATTTTTATATATTATTATGACTAATGGAAAATAAAGATTATGAGAATTTCATTTTTATAAAAAGAAAGGAAAATTATTTGTGCGGTTGTAAAAATGAAAAAAAAAAAAAAAAACAGCTTGCTTCTGAAAGATCTGACAATTGACAACTAAAATTTAATAAAATTTGATTAAAAAATATTTGATTAATAATTCAATTATATACTGTCACGTTTTTTATACAATTATGTCGTTCTTATATAATCTTTAATCTTTACTTTATATATGCATATAAAAGTGCATCTCTAATTTCTCTAATCAAAGTTTAAACCATGCCTCTAGAAAAATCTATGAAGCCCGTCTCGTTAAACAACATCTACATGCCTTGCCGAAACTCTGGTTAGTTTATAATCCCATCTCTTGCTTACCCAAAATATTTTATTTTTATCTTTACCTTTAATTTATTCGTAACTAATGCTCTCATGTATACTTTCACCTGATTTTTAGGGATTTGTTTTTATTATTTGATTTAGTCTTATTTGTTATGATTTAGTTATGATTTATAGGATTTATTTGATTCAAATTTATTTGTTATGATTTAGTTATTTGGAATTGTTTTGATTTTGATATTTTGCAAAAATTTTTTGGGGGTTTTAAAACTTGCTTGATTATTACATTTTTTTGCTTGTTATATAATTTTTTTCTGTTGTAAAGCTCTTGCAGGAGAAAGGGTTGACCCACATCCCTTCCAAAGCTTTTAGTCAATGCCAGGGAAGGTAGTCACCTACTTATATAATTATTTAAACTCAAAATGTTAAATAATGGACTGACATTTGATTGAATATTTATGAAACACGTGGTTCAATTATAATGCACCATGTTACATGTTTTTATTATAAATTAATAAAATCTAAAAATCATAAGTTATTAACTAACATTTGATTAAACTTTTCAAGACACCAGAAATATTTACAAAAATATTTGATTGAATATAAATAAATAATATTTATAATTTTACTCAATATAAATAAATAATAGATATTTACAAAAATAAATTTTAATATAAATAATTTAAATAATTCAATTAATTCATTCAATGGGAATTCCATTGTACAGAAATTAAATATTAAGGTTTAATTTCCAATCATACAAATCAAGAATTATACTTTTATAACATATTAAAATCCAAAAAAAAAAGAAATTAAATACATAACAATCCGAATTCAGTTTTATGGATATTTATACTATTTAATATGTATGTTAAACTTAAATTACAACTATAAAGTAATTAAAATAATTTATAATTAATTGGATTCATCGATATCATAAATTCATGAATAATTAAATTCATATATTTTAGGTTTAATTAATGGTTATTTATATTAATAAATAGTAGATATAAATT